TACTGTGTAAATCACACCCAGGTGCTGCGTGGTCTGACACCCGGGTGTGATTTACACACTAGGAGCACATTGTGTATATCACACCCCGGTGTGATTTACGCATTGCCGGCCCACTGTGTAAATCACACTCCGCGTGGTGTGATATACACAGGAGTAGTGTATTGTGTAAATCACACCCGGGTGAGGTTTACACTACAGTGCGATGCATTATGTAAATCTCACCGTGGTGTGATATACACGCGTCCTTACGAAAAATGGTGACAGACGTTTGTGGAGGATTGTCGACGAACTCTTGTTCCGCGAGCAGTACTTACACGCTAGCGGAAAATTCACCAATCAGCGCTCGGCAGTACTCGACGCTGATTGGTCCGACGCTCGTGACGAAATTGCGGGGGACCGCAGTTATTCTCTATGGACCCGAATAGGCTTTTGGATTTCGGAGGAGTTTCTTTAAAATTATATGCTGTTTGGAGCTGTTTTCGAGTTGAAATATATTTCTTATGACTGTTAGCTATATAATGACACCATAAAATCATGATTTTAATAAATATTACCGATGTAATATCGGCCGAAAAGACATGCTGTCATGGCACGGACTGCCCTGCGGCTGATGTGGGGCCCCTAGTGCCAGCGTATGGTAATAATGGGTTGACGAAGGGTTATTGGAGAAACTTAGAGCCCCTTTAGCATTCAGTATAGGGTCATCAGAGGCCGGGAATGTCCATCAGGGGTCTGAGTAGGCCTGTCATAGGGGCATACATGACACATCATGGCCCATGGGTCAATGTAGATCCATTAGGGGCCGTTGAAGGGCCATCATTGTTCAGCGTGGGCTCGCAATTACCTCTGATGGGCATATGCCGTGCCCCGATGGACTAACGCTGGCCCCTGATGAACCATCACCAGCCCCTGATAGGTCTACAAAGCCCTCTGCTGGGTCCAAATTGGTCACTGATATGCCCAAATGGGCCACTGAGATACCCGTACAACATCGGGCACATCCCCTGACTGCACCTGCTGGACCAATGCCGTCCCCTCATGGGCCCACCACAGCTCTTGAATGACCTTTTCAAGTCCCCTGAAGTGCCTTTATTGGCCTAAATGGCCCCTGATTGACTGATGTGGTCCCTATTGGTCCTATATGGCCCCCATGAGCCCTCAACGTCGGCCTAGACAGCCTTACATTATATGCCACTGGGCCCTGTTGGGTCAGCACCGGCCCCCGATAGGCTTGCACACTGGACCCACCGGGCCTATACCGACCCATGAAGGGTCTATGTCGAACCCTCACGGACCTCCGATGACCACACGCCGACATGTGTGGCCCCATCAGCAGTGGTCCGTCTATCCCATGTACTTACGGTCTTTTTGGCCGATGTGACACCGGTAGTATATAGAATGTCATGATTAAATGTCGTTATTACACAGTCAAAAGTCACAGAAAGAATATCCAAGCTCAAAAATGGCCTCAAACCCAACAAAAACTGGTATAAATCCCCTTCAAAAGCCGTAAGTCTATTAAACGCCATAGGGGAATAGCTACAGTCCCCCGCAATTTCGTCACGAGCATCGGGCCAATCAGCGTCGAGTATTGCCGAACGCCGATTGGTCGATTTCCGCTAGCCTGTAAATGCTGCTTGCGGATATAGTTTTGAACAAGTGAGGGTCGCGGCTACTAATTATCGCTTGTCACCACTTTTTCGTCGGGAACGTTCTACCTGAGGGCTGTTCACGGGCCCTGTGTGCGGTCGGACCGCACACAGCCTCCAAGCTCCGCCCACTGCGTCCCTACGTCAGCCTTGCGTCACCGCACACAGCGACCGCTGTGGCCGGTCGGGACTGGCCACAGCGGACTGTCCACCGCACGCAGCCGTGACGTCAGAGCCGCCTACCCATCCCCTACCCCCACGCCTGCTGGACGTACCGCACACACCGCACGCAGCAGTGTGCGGTGCCCGTGAACACCCCTCTGGTTTATATAGCCTTGGCCTCGGCTAAGGAATTTTGACTACTGGGGCAAATGGTCGAAGTGTGTTAACCTGCGCCCTGCTGGGGGGTGGGGGTGTTTGAACACCCCCCCCCCACTGCGGTTTTCCGCGGATATCTCAAAAACGGCGGCGCGGAGCGCCACACCTTATCCTCCACCAATTCTACACATGTTGTAATAAGTTCAGACCAAGATCATTCAAGGTCAAGTCACCAGGTCACTTCAAGTGACCTCATAAAATGTTTCAATGTATGCCATAGCTATACCGAATGACCGATCGCTTTGAAACTTTCAGCGATTGATAAGGACAACAGTTAGAGCACTTCATGGATAGGATTTTCAGGATCAAGCCCGGCCTATATCCAGCAAGTCACGCAGGTCCGCCCATTATCTGCCTTTCTTTGAATTTCAGAATCCGGCCCGCCCATGGCCCATGGCCCATGGCATATTTCAGCCATCCAAATATCCATAATAATCCGTTTCACCAAAACTGGTTGTTGACTATCGCAAATTCACTGTAAGGGACCAGATAACCATATATCTCACAGACTCACGGTTCACAAAGGCATGCTTATAAATCGCATGTAGCTAAATCAATAAATACCTCTGCTGCTGTCTGACAAGTTCAGTTGACTTTTTACATGAATATCGAATGCTATAATTTTATCTGTTCTTATCCGTTTTCAACCTTCAATTCCCATATCCGATCTATTTTTTTCAAATTTGGGATCCAATCCTATCCGGTCCATGGATTTATCATGGATAACGGAGCTATCCGGCCCATGAAGTGCTCTAGCAAGTAGCAACAGTATGTACAAAATTTATATCGGCATTTTCATATCGGTGACCTCAGGTCAATTTTGCGTCTTCTAGGTATTATAAGTCAATGGGAGAAAATTTAAAACCGCCTCTCTTGGACGAAAGTCATTTTAAACACTCTCAAACACTGAATTACAAGTAATTTTGAGACACTGAACATGAAAATGCCATCCATGACCGTGTTTATACCTCTGAGGTCATTTCAGGTCACAAATGGTATCTAACAGTTTTTCGCGACTAACTTTTGAAAGAGGCATGCTAGAGCGATGAAAACGCCTTATATGTGTTCAGCTCGACGATACGGATCCACTGATATGCAACATGACAATTTCCGGTCAGATCAAGACCTTGACCTGAGGTCAAATTTTCAAGTTGACCTTTCAAGATCAAATTATAATTCGATGCGTCTTGACGAGAGGAACACGATGTCGGTAAAAGAAAGCTCGTGCAAGGCTTGAGTCAAATTCGATATGAAAAAACTTCCCGAAAAATTTGTCTATTTTGGAAGTTTCTGCCCCCTGCAGGCAAAACCGTTGACGTTAGGTCAAATCTGAGAGAAATGCTCAGAAAGAAACGCTAATATGGCTATCAAATGCGCTTTTCCGCAGCGCTGTAGCTCTATTGGTTCCCGAGTCATACGTCGGAATCTTGCAAATTGTCGATATCCGACCTGAAATTCGGCGAAATTCGGCCTTCAATGACCCTCATGACCTGACCTTTGACTGACCAAAAAAGTGACCGAAGTAGTTTCATCATTATTTTTGACGCTTTTTCGAACGAAGGGTAGCTTATGGATTATGGAGGTGCAAAAAGGCATGTTTGGCAATGCACGCCTGTGTTTTTGGATAGTAATTGAGGGTGCAGCTGCACACCATGCACCCTCTCTTCCGCCGCCCATGATTTCTTGCCACAAACGTCTTCAACCGCTCCCGAGTGAAAGAATGTACGTTAATATTAACATATTATCATTTTGTAGAGGTTGGGCAAAACCTGACCACTACTGGGGCATTCCTTGACTCTACTGGGGCATTTGCCCCAGTAGTTAACATGTTAGCCGAGGCCCTGATTTCCGGACTCTCCAACGCAACTCGTTGTCCAGACGTAAATATGCTTACCGAACGGGATTCTGTGCCTTCTATTATCGCGGCGGACGACGCGCGCGGGCAGGTCAGGAAAGGTTGGGTTATTTTTTGTACTTGGTTGCCTTGATAGTGATTAGCAAAGGTGTATAATGTACCTTATGCTTTTGATTAAAAGAAATAGATACACATATTTTGATGGTGAAACTAAGGTGTCATGAGATTCTGTCGGTTTTGGTTCAGGTTCTGTGCCCTGCATGGATTTACTGTGGATTTACTTTGGTTTTACTGGCGCCTTCATTGAGTTTGCCTCCAAATTTCATTGGCTTGGATGTTGCTTTCTTGTGCATTACTTATGCTGCGCACGTTATAGGAACAATCGTAATTGAAGCTACTTACATTTCTGTTACACTTCAACTTACAGGTATATAATGTAAATGTTCCTCTGTCTTGAAAGTTGGCATCCTGATCCGAAAGTCTGGATCGAGATAGTTGTTAAGCAGGCATCTCACTTCCTTGTGAACAGCTGAAGAAAGCAGTGAGATGAGCTGTGGGCCTTGAGAGTCGACATGACCACCAGATTATTACCTAAGTCACAAATGTACCTACTTTTGTTTCAGCATACAGTGACATATGCATGTGGCCAGTTGTCAGTCTAAGTGACTGGCTGCAGCCTGCCACCAATCAAAACCATACCTGTCTGGAGGCTCATTAACATCAAGCTCCCTCTACACTTCCAACCCAGTTTGTCGTAACCTGGATGCATGCTGTGTCGCTGACACCACACAGAGTTCAACGCTCTAGATGACACTGTGCTTTGTTCATGAATGTGTCATAATCTTTGTGTGTGCGTGTGTTTCATCCATCTCCATCTATCACCATCTCGTGTCAATGGACTGCTTAGTCTGGAATACAAGCCTATCTATCTATCTATCTACTAACTGAGCTATGCAAGTTGACCATCCATTGTGAGCTGTGCAGAGTTCTCCAGAAAATTCTATTATCTGGTTGTTTTACTGGCTCACAGTTCCATGTTTTTTTTTGCTTTTTGAGCTGCCACTTGTTCACTTTGGTTCATACTTATACACATATAGCTGACAATTTTTTATTTTTTATTGAGCTAACAAGATTATTGGGTTTGGGCCAACTTCTCCCTTATCATGTCATATGTCTCATTCACATCACCCATATGCCATATCTGTACTATTATAAATGAGTGTTTGATCTAGGTTTTGTTTTCATTACAGGTTAAAGTCAGATCGAACTGTGTGCTGAGTCAACCTCACTGATACCAGGATGACTGCTATCCGATTTGCCCTGGAGAAAAGCATATTTGAGCCTGGCGACGAGAGACTCATTAAGGCCATTCATGTATCACAGCTAGAGAAGAAGAAGAAAACCTATTTTCTGTGTTTGTCTGTGAGCAAAGACAAGAGTGGCTTTATCAGCACTGTAAAGAAACTGGACAAGGACAACTATAAGAAGAAGAGGACATGGGGCCTGCAGGATCTCAAGATGGTGGATGGAAAAGATGGAAAAAGGGTATGCTGCTACACAGCATGTAGTTATATGACAGCAGTTTTGTTGTGTTGTGGAAGTGTAGTACCATTTCAAACTTAGAAATTGATTTTTACTCTTTGCTCCTTCAGCATTCATGACACATTTCTTTTTCAGGATACAGCTGACTTGGACTTACAGTTTGAAAAGGTCTACAAATGGGTCGCCAGCACTCCCATGGAAAGAAATATGTTCATAGCCAACCTATGGATGGTGAGTTTTTACCATTGAGCTCATGTAAACTTTTTGGTGGTGTTATGGTTTATTATTTTCAAGCCCTGTTTTTATCCATGTCATCATCCCCTATTGGAAAATTCATAATCTATTATCACCATATAATGGCACTGTTCCCCACTGATCCCCCACACCTTGTTTCGTTATTCGTTCCCCACTACCAGCTCTGACCTTAACTTCTCCCTCCCATGCTGTGTCCGCCAGCTGTGCAGCCAGCACCTGCACCGGCAGCGACCTCAGTTTGTCAACATCCCGGCCGAGTTTCTGGACGGAGGCACCAAGACGGCCGACACACGCGCTGCCCTATCGCCGGGTGAGGCAGTCACTGCGACCGGGGAAGGGGAGGGATGCCCTGGGCTGGCCTGGGTGGTAGCCTAGGTACTGTGTTCTCACAGTAGTCTGTGACTGAGTCTGAAATGACCTGGATGATGTGAAATGCACGACAAAGTTTAAGGAGAAGTTGGGTCATGGGTGTTTGTTTGCTGAAAAGAAGGTGTTTTCAAAATTATGCTGCATTTACAGTCATCTGGCCTGCCCTGCCCTGCCCTGCCCTGCCCTGCCCTGCCCTACCCTACCCTGACCTAACGTGACCTGACCTCCGCAGTATCCGAGCTCTCCGTGGAGGCGGACAGCTACCAGGCACTGACCTCACAGGAGGAGCAGGACCTGCTGAAGATGATGTCGGAGCACGAGACGGCCGTCAGCAACGCCGAGGCCTTCGCCGAACAGCTCAACAGGGAGCTCTCCGGCCTGGATGGGGTGAGTACAGCACACGGGAACCGCGGTACTTGTGCGCTCGTGGGGGAAGGGAGGGGGTTATAAATATCACGTTGGTTGTGTGAGCTCTCCGTCGCTTGGGCCACTGCGATAATCACCGGCAAAAGTTCTGCAGAATCCGCCGTACTGGCAAAATTATCATGCGTACCTTACGACTACGGTGACATTAGTGAATAGTGTGGTTGTCAGTAAATAATGTCCGATAGTTGTCCGGGTCTTTTGTGCTCTGTTTAAACTTCAAATTGCATTTTTTTCTACATAGTATGGCTATTTCCTGCTGCAGATTGCTGTTTTTGACGATTTTATTTCGCCCCAAGCCCGTCACCGTGGCCGTTTGGGTAACTATTAGTTCATCTAACCACCACCAGGCTATAGAAGTGCGGATATTCCGTTCGAAAATGCAATTCACCGTTAATACGCTCTTGTATGTACTGGCAATTTCCCACTGTAGACCTTATGAGTAGGCACGACAGTCGTAAGCTGTACCTAATTGGTCTTCTCGAGCTCCATATCAATGCACGGGTCCCTGCACAAAGACGGCAGAGTTTATCCGTATTTCTCCACAAGGGCGCGTCCGGCACAGACTGCTGGTGCGGGATATAGAGTGTTATTTGGAAACATCCACTCAATTCCTAACGTCATTCATCAAGCAATACCAGGTCATGTAGGTCGGTGCACGTCACGTTAAACCGTCAGCCAGTCAATGCTTGATCAACAGTCTGCATGTCTCAATTGGTTCCCGCTAGTTGGTTTGGAATACGGTTTTGAATAGCAATTTTGAATTACTTAGTATCCAAACTGACGCGACAAGCAACCATAGTTGGTGGGAACAATTCGTGCCGATCTATGAATTTTGCAAGTGCTGTATCCATTTGTTCAACTACGTGCGGTTCCAAGGAGTCGTTGAGGTCGCACATTCTTACGGTCAGATTCAATCTTCTCGCTCAAAGGTCTTGTTTGCGATATCTGTACGATGTCGATGGGAATGTTATCTTGCAATTGGACAACAACTTCTTTTATCTTATCAGTTATCTAGCAAGCGAACAAGCGAACACGAACTCAACAGTCGCATATCTAAACAACACTCGAACTTGGCACGCTAAAGTGCAGTACTTAAGGCCGCCCCACACTGGACCTCGCATGCGGGTTGCGAGTTTTTGGGTTTTCGGGTTTCCTCAAAATCAAATAATACAACCTATGCTGAGTGACCCACACTACCATCTAACAAGCGAGTCTGCATGTTTTTAGCTTGCGAGCGACCTTGCATCGCATTTCAAAAGCTGATTTTGTGTCAACTTCGATTTTCCTCGCCGCGAGGTCTGCGAGTTCTGCGAGGTTTGTGGGTTTTTCGTTGGAGTCGAATTTCGGTTCGTTGCGCTGGTATTGCGACTATATGTAAGTTTCTGAAGGTGTACCGGCTTCACTGCATTCATGAAGTTACCATAAGGGAGCGGTCTAATCACTCTATGAATTAGTATTATGCCCGCAAACTCAAAACCCGCAAACTCGCAACCCGCATGCAAGTTCCAGTGTGGGGTGGCCTTTAGACTAACACCGCACAATATGCCATCAAAGCAGCCATTGGCTGACCTTTCTTAAAATGTCGGAATTCAATAATCTCGCGGATATGATACTCCGCCAATCGACGTCGATGACGTCACCGGCTTAACAGTTACAGCTCTGGTTATGGAAACACCTGGACCTTGTACATATGCAACCTTACATAACGACTCGCTGAACGATATCCTTTTTTAACACTCGCTAATTGTCATACATGATCGCTGGCACCGTATTCCTTGCCCAGCGGACGCTGGGTCGAGCGGATGTCGAACCGCGCTGACGGTAGTTTTGCCTCCCGGACCGCCCGGCCTGGCGCCGCCCCTGCCCCGGGCCGCCGGCCTTGCAACGCCTCTGCCTCCGGACCATGGTGGAAACTAGCGCGTCTGCTGTGACGACGAGGCGACGGCGGCGGCGATGGAGTCGGGCCTGATTGGCCGGTTGGGTTCGGGCTCGCGCTCGCGCCAGACACCAGCTACGGGACTTTTTTGCTGCGTGCACTTTTTGTGCTGCTGATGGTCGTGAGAGGGCTGTGGGTTTATTGTGGTGTAGTTAGTTTCTGTCGCCCGCCGTGACGGTCGGGTATCTGACTCGGTTGTCGGCTGTGCCGCCGTGATCAGAGACCTGTGCCGCCGTGATCTGAAACCTGTGCCTTCGTGATCTGTGTCACCGGTGAACCGGTATGATCCCATGCGCGGGCGTGTGAAAATGTCGCGGTGCCACTTCAACAGGAGATAGTGGGACGTCCCGCGCGGCGCGGCGCTATCAGCATGCCAGTGGCGACGCCGGAGGCCGTGGCGGCGGTGGCGGCTGCCGTGCACGCATTGGCAGACCCGCCGGTGTCGGAGGCGGGGCCGAGGGCGCGCTCTGCTCAGTGCTCCGACTCCGCAGACGACATGACGGTGGACGTCTCGGCGATGGCCCCGGGGCCGACGCCGGCAGCGGCGTCGCTGCGCGGGCACGGCTGGCTGGTGTATCTTCTGACTGTACTCAGCGCCATCAGCAGTCTGCTGTTCGGCTATGACACGGGTGTCGTGTCAGGCGCCATGCTGCTGGTGCGCAGCGAGTTCCACCTCTCCGACTTCTGGCACGAGCTGATCGTCTCGGCGACTGTGGGCGCGGCGTGGCTGTCCTCGCTACTGGGCGGCTATCTGGCTGACAGGTTCGGCCGTAAACCTGTCATCTTGGTAGCTGGAGTGCTCTTCGTAGTGGGATCACTAGCCATGGCTCTGGCTGGTGGCAAAGAAACTCTGCTAGTCGGCCGGTTGATAGTCGGACTGGCCATCGGAATCTCCAGCATGTGCGTGCCGATCTACATCTCTGAGTCGGCGCCGGCCGGCATCCGCGGCCTCTTGGTGATGGTGATGACGGCCACCATCACTCTGGGTCAGCTGGTGGCTGCGCTGGTGTGCGGAGCCTTCTCCACAGTGGACGGGGGATGGCGTTGGATGCTGGGCCTCGGCGCGCTACCGGCCGCTCTTCAGCTGCTCGGCTTCGCGTTCATGCCAGAATCACCCCGCTTCCTGGTGGCGAAAGGCCGCGAAGAGGCGGCCAAAGACGTGCTGCGGCGCGTGCGAGGCGAGGGGGACCACGTCGCCGCTGAGTACGACGCCATCAAGACCGACCACACCGCGCAGGAGGCCGTGTTTCGTGAGCGAGCGGCGGCAGGTCACGGAGGCTCTGTGCTGTCACAGGTGGTGCGTGAACCCAGCACGCGCCGCGCGCTCATCACCGGCTGCTGTCTGCAGATGTTCCAGCAGATCTCTGGCGTCAACACGGTCATCTACTACAGCGCCAGCATCATCACACTGGCCGGCGTCCGCGACCCGTCCACCGCCATCTGGCTCTCCGCGATCGTCAGCTTCCTGAGCTTCATGGCCAAGCTGGTCGGCCTGGGGCTGGTGGAGCGCGCGGGGCGCCGGCCGATCCTCCTGTGGAGCACGCTGGGCTCGGCCGTCTCGCTCGTGATCCTCGGCGCCGGCTTCCAGCTGAGTGCCAGCCACTCGGTCGGAGTGACAGTCCTGGAGGAGGGCCAGAGTGCGCTCCTAGCGGCCACCTGTGATGCCTGTGAGCTAACCGGTGAGAACGGGTTCTGCTTCCAGGACCTGGACTCGGGACCTGTGAACGGCTCATGCATACCACACGTCTCCTCGTACAACTCGTCGGCATCTCTGGGCCGGTGCGCCGACCCGGCAGAACTAGGTGTCAACAGCCTCACCTGGGCTCCTGACTGGTGCCCCACGGACTACGCCTGGCTTCCCATCACGGGCATGTTCCTCTACATCACCATGTTCTCCCCGGGCCTGGGCGCCATGCCGTGGACCATCACGGCCGAGATCTATCCGCTGTGGGCGCGCAGCACGTGCAACTCCATCACTACATCGGTCAACTGGTTCTTCAACTTGATCGTGTCGTTGACGTTCCTGACGCTGATCGCGGCCATCACGCGACAGGGTACGTTCTACATGTTTTGCGGCTGCACTGTTGTGGGCCTGGTGGTGTTCTACGTCACAGTACCGGAAACACGCGGAGTCAGACTCGAAGAAATTCAGCAGCTCTTTGCGATGCCCTGGGGTCTCCACGCTCCGCGACGAGCCCCAGCAAACAGCTCGTCTGGAGACGGAGAGGAAAGCAGCTCGGCCCAAGGGTTCGAAAATAAGACATTCGATCCATCCTAGCGGGAAGGAGGGAAGGGAAGAATATGTCTGTGAGATTGTGTGGGGGTGTTTTGATGACATTTATTACGAGGAACTTTGCCAGCAAGCATTTGGAAATAAAATCGTACACCCTACCTCGTACCACGGGTTGCTTGGCCTGTTCCAAGACTTCCTTACGTTTGTTTCAATTGTAGTCAATGCTGAGACCAAAGCCATTGTATGAGATTGTGTATGCATCACCAAAATGACTCTCGGTCTCATTCTACTGATTTTAGTTTAACCAGTTCAATTATAAATGCCAGACACGTATAAATGTGGTAAAAGCGGCTGTCGTCTCCTGTGCTAAGGATCAATGTTTGCGGTTTGGGCTGCATTTTAGCTACAGTCTTGGATATGCGCTCATTATTATTTCGAGTAATTGTGTCTGGATCATTTTGTGAGGTTATTCCAGACTGCTTGTTATATTGTCATTATGGAATGTAATATTTTGTGCTATGCCAAATAAACGTATGTATCTTTTTATTCTCCGAGGAATTCTGAATGAAGAGGACCCGTCATGAGCTGTATGAGGGTAAGGCTAAGGTTGATGATCCGCATCAAGGCGAATGCCTTCTTTTTTGTACATATCAACTGGTACGCAATTGAAAGTTGCCTTTGCAGCTTATAATCCCTTGAGTTCAATCACATAAGTCAGGAGAATAGACACACATGTCTTCTGTTTTTAGTCGAAGCGTTCGGTGATGACGTCGCCAGCGACAAGAAAACCATTGTAGATAATCCTGTTATTTTTTTTTTTTTTTTACTGGTTAACGTTATCTTAACCCGCGCCGTGCTGGGGGGGGGGCGTTTTTACGCCCCCCCCCCCTCAGGTTTTTCGCGAATATCTCAAAAACGGCGGCGCGCAGCGCCGCCGTTTTTGGTACACGTGTTCCTACATCATTTCCGCACATGTTGTGAAAATTTCAGACCTAGGCCGTTCAAGGTCAGGTCACCAGGTCACGTCAAGTGACCTTACCTCAGAAAAAGTTCAAAGGCTCGCTATAGCTACACCGACTGAACGATCACTTTGAAACTTTCAGCGATTGATATGAGTAACAGTATGTATAAAATGTATATCTCGGATTTTTGATATCTGTGACCTAAGGTCAGGTCAATTTTGTGACCTCTCCATTATAAGTCAATGGGAGAAAATTGAAATGCGCCTCTTTTGGACGAATATCGTTCAAAACGCTCTCAAACATCGGTTCATAGGTAAACATGACACACTGAATAGGAAAAATGCACCAGTGACCCCTCTGTGTGCCCCTGAGGTCATCTCAGGTCATGATTGGTCGCCAGCAGTTTTTTGGCTATAACTTTTGATAGAGACGTGCTAGAGCGGTGAAAACACGTCAGATGTGTTCAGCTCGACGATACGGATCGACTGATATGCAACATGACCCTTTTCGGTCAGGTCATGACCTTGACCTGAGGTCAAATTTTCAAAATGACCTTTCAAAGTCAACGAATAGTTCATTCGACGCGTCTCGACGAGAGGAACACGATGCTGGCAAAAGTAATGTCATGGCGCTTATGAGTCAAAAGTTATTGACGAAAAAACGTTTTTCGTAAAAACGGCTATTTTTGGAGTTTTTGCCCTCTGGAGGCTAAACCGTTGACCTGAGGTCAAATCTGAGAACATTACTCAGAAAGGTCTGTAAAAGGGCTATCGAATGCGCTTTTCCGCGGCGCTGTAGCTCTATCGGTTCCCGAGATAGCCGTTGGCAGTTTCCAAAATGTTGAAATAGTCAACATTTTACCTTTGGTGACCTCTGGTGACCTGACCTTTGACCTGACCCAAAAAATGACCGAAGTGTTTTCGTCCTTATTTTTGACGCTCTTTCGATTGCCGCTTACCGCGTGTCGCTACGTGGCCCAGGAGCCGAGTTAGACGGGGGGGGGGCGTGAAAACGCCCCCCCCCCCCCCAGCACTCGGCGGAAAGTTCAGGCCACCAGCACGGCGCGGGTTAACCAAATAGCAATCGCTAACGAAAACGATAAACCAGTCAATTAACAGCATATGAACAATGAATAGGTGACCTTTGTCAAACACTTAATGAGATGTGTGCAAGGAACCAGACGCGTCACCAAAACATAACAATAGAAGGAAACATCAAACAACCATGCCTAATGGATGATCAGTCCTGGTAACAAATACATGTGATGATTGTGTGCTCTCGAAAGCAACACACGTCACCAACCCTTTGACCCGTGATAAGTGGGTACGCACTTTTAAAACTAGGACAAATACCACACTTAAAAGCTTGACAGCGGCTCGTTGACGAAAAGGTCATATCATTGGCCCAATCCTAGTGGGGCTATAGGGAAGGGTCTTTGACCCCACATCAGGTGTTCGCTGGTGGTGAGTTTTACATCGCACCATATCTGGTCATCAGCTGCGCCCCCCGCCGGCCGCGAGCTCGACAGATGTGCTTACACCACTTGTGGTCGTACAATGGCGGCGTTCTCTTCCCTGAGCCGGCATTCAGCGAGGGCTTGAGCCGCTCTGCCTTGAGAAATGGTGTGGTTTGGGGTACTTGTGGTGTTTAAATAACACACTTTGTTGGCGATTGATAAACCGAGACATTGTCAGTGTTGGTCACTTAGCCGATAAGTTGGGCTCTAATGCATTATTATACCACGCAGGCACAAATGGCATGAGTCACAGTGAAAACATTGTTTTAATTGTGTGCCTATGTAAGGACTAATCTTTTTTTTTACACAAATGAAATTTAATTATTAAATTGGCATTCCACCAGCATCTTGTTTACTTGAAATTCACTTGCGCACACACTTGTGACTTCCTGTGAGGCACTTATATGATGTTTGTTTGTATTCCTATCTTTTGCGGAGTGGAAGTCTGCGCACTTTTTCGACACTCGAGCACGGAGGTGTGTCAAGACGTCTATCTTTCGCGTTTTCACCTCAGCTTATTGCGTTCGAGATTCCCGGTTTTAGGAGTTCGTCTGCAGAACACTTGACTTTTGTCCCCAGTCACTAACAGCTGACTCATCGTGTCTTTGAAAACATCCACCCATTTAACCATTCGGATTAAATTTATTTAAAAAAAAATCCCTGCCAACTTTATTGTTTTTCAGTTTTATAATTATGTATGCTATGAAAAACCTGTCGAATTTATAGGTACATATTGTTGTTTTGTGATAAATGGTAATTATATTACAATGTATTACGTAAAATGTGTCGATAATAAGCAGGAGCAGCAAGATCTGTAACAACCTTACCGTCCTTGTAACTTCGTCATCTTTGCAACCTTGCCAGACATATGCATCATCTTTGCAACCTTCCCCGTCGCGCTCTAACAAACCAACAAACAAAATGTGTATCTCAGCCAGACATGTGCATGGATCCGAGAAAATGGATCTGGGACCTGATCCGACGGAGCCTGATCTAGGATCTGACGGGATCATAGATCTAGCTCTGTACTTTATGGAAAGATCCGTAGGGATAATAGATCCGAGTCTCATTTTTTGCTTGAGATCCAGTGAGATAGATCCTCACTTACTTTTTTTGTCAACACATATGTATCTACACATATGTATCTACACATATGTATCTTTTTTTGTCAACACATATGTCACACATATGTATCCTAAAAAAGCACATGTTTCAACTCACAAACGTTCTGTATGAGTGATTTTATGTGATCGCACGTCATAATCCATAGTTTTGTGTCACTTATTGGCAAAGAAACCCTTGAAAACATGGTTTCAAATGTGGTGCATGGTGGGAGCCACTCAGATCATAGATCTAACTGTTCTTAATTTATCGTCAGATCATATGAGATCATAGATCCAAGATGTTTTTCACGCCGGATCCGCTGGGATCATAGATCTCAACCTTTACTTTGCTTCGAGATCCACTGAGATCATAGATCCATCACTCGGATCCATGCACATGTCTGATCTCAGCTATTCGCTCAGTTCTTGCTGTCATACGCTTAGGCACGCGCCTGCTATCTCTCCCACCTTCTCACTGACCCGTGCTGCCCTCTGCCGTCAGGCCAACATCCAGTCCATCATGGCGTCTGAGCAGCAGGTGGCAGCACTGATGTCTGTCATTCAGCGGGCTGTCGACGAGATATCGGCCGTCGAGGAGCGCCTCGAACAGTACGATCACGCGCTGGTGGCCGTCCGACAGAGTCTCAAGGAGATGGGTCGCGAGAAGAGCAAGATGGAGGTCACCCAGAGGAATCATCACGAGCTCCTGCAGACGCTGGATAGCATGCTGGTGAGATGGTGAACGAAGAGCACGATGGATGTAGTCGAGCCCCCAAAACAAGGCCATAAGGTGTAGTTACATGCAAAGGACTGAGGTCCTTGGTTCCACCTGTTGCGGTTCGTTGGACGTAGGCTGCGGAAGTTTCGTTGTTATGTGGTCAAGTAGTTGAGTTCTAAGCTGAGGAAGCCGTGACCATCACAATGGACAGGCCAAAAAGTCCCGCTAACGGTCACCCCTACGCATATGAGCCTGCTCCTTGGGAGCTACCCATGTCGGATAAAGTTGACCATCCAGCCAGGATCAGGGGGCTTGAGGCGTTGAGGAGAAGGATTCGGCCGTCCTGAGGATGGAAAATTATGGAACTGTCGGATATATATTTACTCATGTCATGGATTCAGTGTGTCATTTAATACTTTTATCTCAGTTTTCAGTGTCGGCAGCTACCCGCCTGATCGATCGAAACGGTGTCCCCTCTCACGCGTGTCTCTCCCTCGCCACTGTACCTAACCCACAGTATCTGTCTCTGTGTGTCCTCAGCCGGACCTGTCGACCAGAGACCGCCAGGTTCTCTCCGACCCTGACCTCACCACCACAGTGGGTCTGAGAGAGGCCTGCCAGGCGGCCCAGTCTCTACTGAGACTGTCGTCAACCTCAGTTGACGGAAACCTCCAGCAGATGGCAGCAGTGGCCGAGCAGAAGAAGCTCTTCGAGAAACTCAAGGCTCGCTTCTCGCAGGCCGTCTACAGGCAGATGAATAACTTCTTCGTACACATGGTGAGCTTGGAAGGGGGAGCCGAGGGTGCCGTATGAACTACTTCTAAAGCGAATCTAAAGCGCTGTCAATTGCATATTCGTGTAGTATATGCAATTGACGTCAATTGCAGTACGCACGTGCGTACTTGGTACATACAAGCAACGCTGGACAGTGACTGAGCTGGACGTGGACGCTGAAAATATGTGTGCACGTGCACAACGATTAAGGCATCATTAACACAGGGTATCACACACCTGAGCCTACTGGCCTTCGAGTAAAAAAAAAATGGGGTCGGATACTTTTTGATCAGGCCTCGTACTGACATTTTCCGATTATAACATGTAGGCTTGTCGTTACTTTTCACAACTGATGTTTGACATTGCACCAGTACCACCCGTTTCCTCATTTTCATCCTCAGAACTTTCAAATATTTCTCCTCCACGCCGCAACCCCCGCTCCGGGCTGGACAGGCAACTTTCTCTCATGCGGGCTGCTCCCGAGGGAGCGCACCCCGTAGCCGGGTGTAGTGAGTGCTTTGCTTGGGGGGCCTGTCCTCTGGACGGGCTCAGCCCCGGCGACTCACTAGGGTGCCTGCCCAGACCAATGTCTCCCCTTAGTTCCTACCATCCATTCAGCTTTGAAAAAGTTTCGTGGGACCGAAAGGGCCTCATAAAAAGCACCAGTAGGTGACGGACAGGGAAAGCCAGTGAATGACGCATCTATTCTTAGATAATTTCTTTCAGGAGCAGCAAAATTTGACATGTCAAATGCGCTAGTCCCCCAGCCCGGAACACCGCTAAGCCAAAGTCAAATCCTATAAGAGTAGGTACGAGTTATTTATTTCAGGGATATTGTAATTGGTTTACATCGCTGCCAGGCAAATGAACATAAACGCAACAACCTTTTGTACTCTTGCTTTCTCGAAGGCAAGCCACGGGATGCACATTGCACACATCCGCGCGGAAATCTAGCCTTAGCCTTTGCGATCCACAAAAGTTGTGATTGCTGAAAGCTGTTTGCTGTTGAGATTATCTGTATTGTCATGATTAAAACTGTTAAAGGTAGTGTGCCAGCTTTCTTGGACCGTATGGAGTTAATGGCCCAGATAAGGAGAACCGGATTTTTAGAACTTATCCATACCTTCAAAACTCATGGAAACGTCTTAAATTCTTCAAATTTTGAGTACCCCAGTGCGAAATTCGCCCCGACGGGTTGTCGGTCGTACCCCAACCACATTTCACACCACTATGAACAATAAATGCACACACTGAAATCGCTATTACCGATATGCTCATCCAATCAAGTTTCGATAAACCCGTTCATCATCATCTCCTGCGGTTTCGAACACGCCTGTTAGGTGGCTTCTGATGCTCGTCGAGGTCGGAATTTCTAAATACGCGTGGTGCGTCGGGCCGCGCGCTCTGACTTCGGCCAAGAAAAATGCGTCAGCTGATCAGTGATCATTGTCATTTCTGCCACTTGCGTGTGGTGAAATGGGGTCATAACTTATAAGACGGCTTTTTCATATCAATTATTTTACATAAAATCATATTTCAAACCATAAATAATGTTCGACAGCCAAATAAAAGAAACAATACCAATACGGGCTTACAGTTTAAGGCTCGACATTGTGTTGTCTACGATTAGACAGCTGATAACTCATTCCCGTACGTCGTATGGTCAAAACACTATAATGACCTTTGCTTATTGTCACAAGTGCGCCGCATTCGCGATTGTTGCCCGACGCCTGTTTGCAGGTGAGCCCACTACAGTTGTTATACATATCTAAAAACCGAAAAACTTTTAGGCGAAGAAGGCACTATTCCAGGCCCATTTTTGATTTTTTTGCGATATTAGGTAAAAACAGAAGCTTCTTATCCTAGGAAAAATAAAATGGGAAATCTTTCAAAGGTGGCACACTACCTTTAAAGGGATCGATGGCAATGCATGATTCCACCATTCACTTATTTCACTCGGTCCTCTGGAATGTGGGTTTTCCAAAAAAGGCTTTTATGCCGTTCTAACCGTATTCTAGCTTTTCTGGTGAGTTAACTGATGCTTGGGTTCATTTCCATGAGTTTCTAGTCCTTTTTAATGTAGTGGGGGATAAAAAGCCGTGAACTGGTTTATGCAAGCCTTGCAACAGCTTGTGGGTCACGTACGTTTTTTTAGCATTCGCCCAGACTCCACTCTGACCATTATTGGCGTGACCAGACTGCATGTGTCTGCCACATTTATCGGATACTAGAGGTACAGGTTTACGCGACAACTGTATGTTTTGATTTATGTTATGTTACGGGTGCATTAGTTTGGGTGATTGACATGTATTTTTAGATGTATTATTTGGAAAGATTTGGGTAGCTGTTTTTAATTAAACTGTAAGGGTTGGTGATAGGTGCGGGGTGTTTAAGTGTTTTGTATGTTAGGCCCTTTTTGAACTTAACCCTACCCCTACCCTACCCTACCCTACCCTAACCTTACACTACCCTACCCTACCCTACCCCTACCCCTACACTACCCTACCCTACTCTACCCTACCCTACCCTACCCTACAATCCCCTACCCTACCCTACCCTACCCTACAATCCCCTACCCTACCCTACCCTACCCCTACCCTACCCTACCCCTACCCTACCCTACCCCTACACTACCCTACCCTAACCTACCCTACACTGCCACCGACAATCCAAGTTTCAGCTAAATCGGCCCAGAAACGGCTAAGATATTGCAAAAACAAATTAATTGTATTTACTGGCGAATCCCCTTGGCGAGCGGTGCCTTGTGTCGGCCTTCGTTGTCAAAGGTCAATGACCTGCCGGCTCTGATGCTTTTCACTCAGTTTTGCAAGCGAACAACTGAGCCTAAAGCACGTGCGTTCTGCTCGGCGCCGGTCGCGGCCGCACCACGTGCACACCGCTGAACCCACACCCTCGAAAATGTAATACGATAATTGAGTGCACGCGTCCGACTTACAGCGAAAATTTCACCCCCGTAGCCCTTACCGTTCCCGAGCAATAGCCTGTTGCCGATTCTAGTGTAAACCCTATGGCACACCACGTGAGCACGCGCCACGGGCGCACCCCCAGCCGCATCGTGCCCAAAATTTAATACGACCTGTTGAATGACGTGACCCACGAGTGGCAAAAATTTCACCCTCCTGCGTCAATCGACGGCGCCGCAATAAGCCATTTTGGGAGTTACCCCGACGGCGGCGGACTTTTTAGGATTTATAATATTTATCGGATATCACGGTTTGCTTTTAGAGTCTGTTTACATCGACCGGTCGATTCTGATTTGTTTTGGATGTCGGCTCATCTGTCGGGCGCAGGCTTGTCATGGGGACAGTTCGGCAGTATACAAACACATTTATTCCACGACCTCGAACGGGGATTCGTTTCCACGGCAACCAACGCCTAAGTTACTGCCTGGCTGCGGCAGCGGAGGCGCCGATCTGGTGGACCAGTGTGAAAACTTGATAGTGTCCGCGGCCCTGGACGGTACTTTGTGCTACTAACGCATTCTTAGCAATGCATTGCAATGGTGTGGTCGTAGAGAGATTATAAAACTTGCAGTTAAATCCTTATCGCTGACAATTGTTTTTACCATTGTTAATTCATTCAGTTATACCTGTACCCTTTTAAGTATCCCTAGCACTCTTCCCCTTCACATCCTCCCCAACATCCTTACCCCACGCTATCCTCTCAGAAAATCCCCAGAGAACGACTTCATCCTACCCCTACCTCTCTGAAACCTGACCCAGCCGTCCGAGCTGCATCCTACCGCTGGGTAGGCCCGCCGGGACCGGCCCGGCCGGTCGATCGGCTCCTGGACCGCTGGACGGCCCCCGGGACGGTAGCTCGCGGTCACGGCCGGGCTCAGCCCGGTCAGGATACCGGGAAGACAGACTATGGTCACGGTCAGTTAGGGTCACGGCTAGACAGGGGAAGGCATGGTCCGGTCATGGTCAGTTCACGGTCACGGATAGATAGTAGACAGACGCTGGTTACGGTTTAATCACGGTCACGGCTAGATATGTAACAGTCGCTCACTCAACTCACGGACAGGGCTAGACAGACCCTATTCGTTGCTTCTGATAGTTAAGTCACGATCATTCATGATCACTCAGCCTGACGCATGCCCACAGATTGTGCATCTCAACTCTCAAGAGTCCCTAATTAGTGCTAATCTCCTCGATTAGCGTTCAGGTGGAGACTGATAAGTCGGATTGAGCTGACTGGGAACAGTGTTTCTCGCAGATATACCGTCGTTGTTCCGTGTGTAGCGGTGTGTAAGAGCGTGGTGCGTATATGTAATTGTATCGCCCGTGTCAAATGGGGCCGGTACCCGCATGGGCTTACTCAAATAGATGGACAAACTTAGGCTTTCGATGTACGTTTAAACAGTATCCAGATCGCTCATTTGTACTGGGCATTACATTTCGTGTGGGCACGTAAATCACCCCAGTGAAATGGGCCTCTTTGCACGTAGTAGATAACATACAAATGACGTGTGAATGCTACGGCTGGAATTCATTTCCCAGTTCAAACGACGAAAAGTTCCGGAGTTTCAAATTCTTGGCGGAGGCTGTTTCAGGAGTTATTAAGAATAGCATACTCGTGGATGGTAGCTGGATGTGGTACGCAAATGTTTTGTTATTTCAGATGCACTGTTTGGAATTTTAGGTCGCGTTAGGAGTAGGAGGAGTTCGTAAAACCCTGAGTCGGTGCTGCAAGGACAGTTTTGGTAAATGCTCAGCCAATACAAATCAACAAGCTCAACTACTATGAACAACGGGTAGTAAATGCAAGGAACCTCATGCATTGAACTCATACAATGAACCTCAAGCAACGGTTTTCCTGAGACGAATTAGTACATGTTATCTATCGTGCCAAGATCAATGGCCAGCTAACATTCTCTAATCTAAACACATTAGCTCCATTCCTTTTTTTACTCCTCCCTTCTGATCGCATTACGTGGCCGCGGTTTTTTTCGGACATAAAAAACATCTGATGCCGGCGCGTCTGATAGTCTCCGGCCCCATAGGCCAATCGCCATCACAGCGGCTACGGTCACGTACCGCGGAAATGGCGGCCGACGTTCCGACGTCTGAGACGGACGGCGGTGGCGACCGCAGCGTCCTGAACGTGCTGTACGATAGTAGAACCTCACCTGACCTCCGCCCTTTGTAACGTCCTGATCTTCGCACTTCCTCGACCTTAGCCATTTCCAGAACAGTCAGTCTTGAAAGCACCGCGCATCGGTGCGGTGGATCCATCAAGCCTGACCGAGTAAGTGCTGCTATAATTTGAGGGTCACCAAACCAACTGACCTGGGGGTATGGATGAGAATGTTAGTTGGTTCGATGACTCAAATTTAGCAGCCTTTCCACGGTCGGGCTTGATGGATCCACCCAACCGATGCGTGGTACTTTCAAGACTGACTGTACATTGGCCACTGATGATACTGCATATGCATTTACCCTTGATGATATTTCATTCTTGATCCATGATTTGACCCGTGACGTAGCCCATTTTCCGATTCATGACCTTTTACTAATACTTACATGTTTCTTGTCCTGACGTGTGGTATCCCGTCTGTTTTCCTTCTCTGACCTGACCCCTGACCTTCTGCTGCCTTTGCCATTAATATCACCTTTAAGGGTTGTGTGACGACCGTTGCGGTGCATTCAGCTCGCGATCATAATTAGTAATTGACATTACTCAGATTTCGACCACTGGACCCTGACCTGTGACCCCTGTGCTGACCACTGACCTTGACCCCTGTGCTGACCTCTGACCTCCACCACCAGGGTAACGACGGTGCTCCGCCCGCTGACCCGCTGACCCTGACCCCCTGTGCTGACCTGTGTCCCCACCGTCAGGGCAACGACGGCGCGCCGCCGGTGGACTCTCTGCAGCTGCCCAGCCACAGCTCACAGCACCTGAAGCTGCAGCCCTACTCGGAGCTGATGCACTGGACCAAGGCGGTCGACAACAGGCAAGTGGTCCGATGATTCCGTGGAGTGAGGAGTCAAGGGATGGGTTGATATCAGTATCCCACACAATATTATCACAACATATCTCATCACAATAGCAGGGAAGTTTTGTGATCTGTGTTGGACTCTGTGCGATGTGAGTAAGGGCCTTGGTGTGTTGTTATCAGCCCATGCAGTCTCCAAATCTTTTCCCTTTACCCACCGACTTCTCATATGCTCCTTCTTGTTATGTTTACATTTACTGAAACTCAAAGGTATGAATCTGAAGAGTACGTAAGAGACTTGTTCGCTGAGAGCTTAGCCTTTGCGATGATGTTTTTTTTTTTTTTAGAGCAACCGCTTTTGTTGAAAATGCCATTGTAAGGCCGGAGAGCTAGTTTACTCGTCAGAGTAATATGGCGGATAAAAACAGCAATCTTGCCTCCCGTATTTTTCTTTTGTGAGCTTGTTTTGATCAAGTGTCACGTCAAAGAAATGACACAGCCCACCAGTTTTGTCTCCGTTCGCGAAGACCTCGTTCTTCACCGGCGTTGGCGATGGCCGTCTTTTCTGCTCTTTTTTTTGTGGTTGTGTTACCATATTTCTGATATTCCTTTTTTCTTCTAAATTCCACATAGCGGAAAATAGGTACGCTATTACAAACAAATAAAGTCGTGTTTTTCAGCACCTGCGACTGATTTTATGCTAACCTCTGACGCGGCGCAGTTCATCCTTTATTCTGTCCGCGTGTCTCTGCCGTTATTCTTTCCTGGCGCTGCGGGACGCTGGCCCGGCCGGTGCGTGTTTCTCGGCGGTCGTGTTTTCGCTGCTCTGACCGCCGAGCGTCTTATTGAATCGGTCTCAACTGGGCGCCGGGCGGGCAGCAGGGCGTTCTGCAGCGAATGGCAAGTGGCCCCGGGGTGGGAGATTTAATGTCAGGAGGCGCGTACCCCGTGCTGCCGGTATCGAACTTTCTGATGGTGTTTGGTAGTGTTGGTGGTAAGCTATTTGATATGGTTATGATTTGGTGCTGCGGTTTGGTGATCATGTTTTGTCGGATTTGCTCAAGCGCAAGACTATCTCGAGTTAGGCTGTTCGATCCTATAGTATAGATAAGAAATAGTTACGTTGCTTAGTCCCTGTTCTTATGCCGTCGTTTCACGACATTGTAAAAGGTGTCGTATCACTAGTCCTGAGCCTGCTCTTCGCCATCCAGCTCAACTCCTGCTGTTCTGTTCGAGGATCGCTCGCTAGTCCTTAACCCGCGCATGACTGGGGGGGGGGGGGCTGTACAGAGCCCCATCATGTTTTTCAGCAATATCTTCTAAACCGTTTGACGGATCAACACGAAACTTGCGGTACCCTCAGAGGCATCAATTTGAAACCTTGTGCTAAAATTTCAACTTTCTAGCTACCATAGTTTAGCCGGAAATGACGTCAAAGTGACGTCATGTCGGCCGATTTTCATGCAAAATACTGAAATACGGCAAACGCTCTCAAGAGCTCAGTTTTAAAGCTAGATCCATTTTCTTTGCTTGAGTTGACTACAAATACACGTAGCTATCGAACTGCTATCTCGAATTTTCGAAATTTTAAAGATTTTGAAAAATATTAATTTACAATTACACAAATATATTTTTTGATTTTTTCAAAAAGTTTTTGACTTTTCGCAAAAACCGGAATGTATGTGATAGAACACACACTGATGAGCTACATTTGCAAGTTTTAGCCCAATATCTTCAAAAATAGCCAAGTTATTCGCATTATTGTCAAAATTTTACAATTTTATGTTTTTTTCAAATCCATTTTTTTCAGTACGTTTTTAACGTCGTACAGCAATATAAATGGCACCATCGTGTTCCTGAGCTCAAACTGCATCTGATAGGCACCTTTTTCGTTGAAAAATTTCATTTTCAAAATTTGACCTTTTCTGACCTGAAAGTGACCTGACCTCCGGTAATTTCAGCTGACAATGACCTCAAATGACACAGACGACACTATTTTCGAAATCTACGAGTAAAATGGACCATAAAACAAGCGTCACGTGACCGATACATGATCTACAATTTTCGTGACCTAGGATGACCTGGCCTTGACTTTAAAAATTCGAAGTAAAAGTTCGGTACCCTCAGGGTATTTAAAGCATCCGTCAATGAGTGCGTAAACCAAAAATGAGCCTGATCGGACCGGCGGTCCGGCGGTCAGAGCCTAAATTGTGAACTAACAAAAATGTCGATAATTTTTACTTTGACGTCATCGGTGACCTCGAGGTCAATGAAAATAGTCTTCGCTCAACAGTTTTTCCAGGGCTATCAGACGCCGTTTGAATTATGACGATCGGCCCAGTAGTTTCGGAGATAGGAGGGGGCTCTGGAGAGCCCCCCCCCCCCCCCCCCCTCCAGTCGCGTTATGGAAAATACCCCAGTCATGCGCGGGTTAATCTGGCTGCGAACATAACCTCTGTAACTGCCGTCTAACCCGCCCACCTGCTGTGTTACAGGGGCTACGAGGCGCTGAAGACGGTCTATGGCCAGTCGCTCAGCAAGCGGTACGAACGGGAGATCCGGGCGCTGTTCGCTGAGGCGCGCGGCCGCGTCGGGGCCTTCCGCAAAGGTATGTCTGGATAGGTGCTGCGTTTATGGCTCGGAAAATCAATTCATTTTGGAGACACAAAACCTGGATGGTCAGGCTTTTTTCGCTGTTTGTGAGTATTACATCAAATTCGAAATGCATTTAATGTGGTCTATGTTCAAGTTCTCTTGCAGTCTATTACAGTCTCTCTTCTCTTATATTGTTTATGTCGTTGTCCTCTGCTGCATGCTTTTTATGAAAGAAAACAACTGCATTTTCCGACCTCCCTCCTGTCAAGCTTGGGCTCGTCCATTACCATGTACTACATTTATCTCACCTCCCTCCCCTCTCGGCAGACTCTATGGACTCACCCACTCTCCTTCAGTCACTTCACCTCCCTCCCCCGTCCACAGACTCGATGGACTCGCCCAGCGGCAGCACGGCCACGCTGTCGCGGATGTCTGGACAGCTGCGGCAGCTGCAGGCGAAGCCGACAGCTGCGCAGCAGGGCGCCGTTCTGCTGGGGATGGATCGGGACGCGTGGACTAACGTGAGTCACTCTACTGCCGCAGATTAACTCTTGATGAGGATGAAAACGGTAAAACGTAGTTGCTGCTAGTGGAGTACCGGGAACTTTATTGAAATAGTTATCTTACTCTTGAACGAATGCCATTATGACGCCATGAAGCTCATTTCCTCCGCCAAATCACTCGGATCAAATGTTAACCGAAGAAGGTAAGCTAGAGTATGCTCAGCAGCATCGTTGCTATTGTATGTCATGTGCTTAGGCCAGTGCTGGAAATGAGGCCGCTTTCTGGTCCCGGCGTTTTATTCTCCTCGCGGGTTAATCCCGTCCGGCGTTTAGCCTTTCGGGACCCACTCAGGGTCGCGGTTGTTTTCGCCGCTCGCCCCAGTCGAGATGCAAAGTTTATAGTCACACGAAGGTTATTTAGGGCCAGCCAAACCAGTCTGGTCTGGAGTTACTGTTAAATGTATGCATATAGACGAAAGAAAAAGGTTTTGTAGAATCGATTACTTTCGAAGTCGTATATTCAGAGGCCCCAAATAAACTTCGTGCGACTATCAACTTTGCATCTCGAATGGGCCGAGCGGCGAAAACAAGTAACAACCGCGGCTCTGAGAGGGTCCCGAAAGGCTAAGCGCTAGACGGGGCTAACTCACCCGGAGAATAAAACGCCGAGACCAGAAAGCGACCTCATTTCCAGCACTGGCTTAGGCCCATCGACGGGGTTAAAACTATTTCAACTAAGCATCGTTTCGTCGCATTATAAGTGCTGATTTCTCACGTTTAATAATTTTCCAATATTATGGAGGTAATCCACTCGCCTAACATTTTTCATCTTTGGTTCTGATCAAACCGCAAGGGCATTTCTAAAATGATTGTGGCTGACATTGTTCGCTGTTAGCCTGCTGGCTGGCAAAAGGTTTCCTTTGAAAGATGTAGGGCTGAGCAGAACCAAATGCTGTGCCGATCTCAGCAGCAAAGAAGTTCTAAATTTTCCTCAAACCGATTTTAGGAGCCTGTACTCATCCAAATCACCAGAACTTTTATAACTTGGCTCCTTCGAGGGAGCGCTTCGGCACACAGTGGCCGTTAGTAGTCCGCGGCGTGCCGACACTTGTTGCTATGGAAACCTTAAACTGCCGCCAGCTGCTGTCCCCCTGATTGACGCTCCAATACGCGGCGAGATATGTCGCTGGAATTTGGCCGTGCCCGGTCGCTTGGAGACCGCCGTCGGAGTCCTGGCTATTACTCAGATGGTAGTGGCGAAGTTCTGTCACGATTTAGCTCCTTTAAAGCGAAACGTGATGGTGATTAGTTAATTGGGGTCATTGATGAGGTCACTTATCCGTGGTTTTTATGTTTGTGTTTAAAGGATCAAGTGGAGTGATTACAAACAATAGATAACTTTCATGCACACCTTTCATGAGTGCAGCTGAATACAAAAAAAAAAAAACGGATACTTTCGTTGACGCACCTTATTTCTTGTCCAGATATGATTATGCATACCCTGACTTTGCTACGTCAGTAAGCGGTTTTATGTTTCTGGTTTTAATATGAACACATTAATTCTGCTTATTTTAGATATTTTAAATATTAATTTAAAATTGTATTTTGCGTTTGGAGTATTGCTCCTCGAATAATAGGGTTGGGACCTATCTGCATGCTCTGTATGTTTTGGTAAAATAAAAAAGCTCAGAATTTTTAATGATTTAATTTAAAATCACTTTGTTAAAAAAAAAGCCTAGTTAGTTCAGAAATTAATTATTTGTGGCTGAAAACAACTTGCTTCTGATTGGTCGGGCTAATCATGACGTCACATGTAGGTATATAACTGTCTGTATATTTGGCGCAGTTGAGACATACATTTTCTATGTATTTTCCTATGGTAAATCGGAGTGATTGGTCGTGTTTTCAGTGTCTCTTTATTTTGCGCTGGTATTGCGTGGCTAAGAAGTTTTATCAAGAATGGCATATACTAAAATGTTCCTTTAATAATGGAGCTTCAATATCTGTGAGTTTTATTGGCAAGCGAAAACTGATTTCGCTGTTATTTTATCTGGAAATTACTCTTCTTTTAGGTCAATATTCAAAATATTTTACGGGAACAAGTTGGCACTTTTCTTGATTTTTGCACTCAAATCGCGTGCGATTCAACTGTATTGGAACTTGCAAAGAAGCTTGGTGATTAATTAACTGTGTTGTTATGGCACTGTTTGCAAAGCATGGATAATGAAACTCTGCCAAAGACTTAGCTACATAGCAATGCCTCAAGTAATACGCAGGAGGGACAGAATTCAGAGTCCGATCGAGAAGAATCGGTGCAAATGCTACGAAGACCAGGCATCTCTGATACAATAGCTAGTCGTCTCACTACTCTCACTCCATTAGACCAGCTGATTCCTGACAGCACCGACTCGGATGCAAAGATGGAGCTCATCTTCCAAGCCAGAAACCAGTTCTTTGATGGAAGATGTGATGCTGCCTCGTCTCTGCTTTGTTGGCCTCTTTGGACGGGGCGGAGCTCCGCTCCTTGCGTGAGCGGTTATTCGCCTGTCATCCAGAAATAGTTCCTTCGTTTGCTGGCCGTTCCCTGATTAGGTGCAATACGGGGAGCTGTAATCAGGGAAGTAACTTTCCATATGAAAGGGGTGCAGGTGCACCCCCGTCCCCCATCCACTAGAAGTGCACCCCCATAGGCTAAGCGGCGCCCCACACGCCTGACGCCGCCCCACGCGATTAGCTCTAGAGCAGATGGCGAGGGTGATTTCTCGGCTACATTCCATCTCGGCGTCGTGATGCTTGTGGGCTTGGAAAGCGTCCAGTCGTATGTAGGGTAGTGTAGGGGTAGGGTTGAGTTCAATAAGGTCCTTACATTTGAAAGGTTTGAACAACCCGCAATCAGCACAACATAGGTACCACAAGTTAAATAAAAAACTACCAAACTCCGCCCAACTAAAATTAATAAACATTACAGCCAAACTAATGGCCTAAATAAAAATATATCTCAAATCCTAACAGTTATCGCGGGTGATGGCGCCATGAGTTGCTATTATCCAAAACAGATGCAAATAAACATGTTTGTATGTCCTATGTATGTTTGTTTTAAAAACGTTGCAGCGGCGCTGGGAACTGCAGTCTTAGATCTGGGTATGTTTGGCATCTGCAACTCTTCATATACACATTAACCCTATTTCGGACGGGGATACCTTTCAGGATTTTCTTGTACAAATGCCAAACGTCGCGAGACATTCAGCTCATATTTGGTGACTTTTCCTAAATGCTCATTGCGCACATCTCAGCAAAAAAAAAAAAAAAAAAATGCCGGGTCAGGTCAGGTCAGGTAACCAGAGCGGGTTTGTTGACCCCACCTCAGAAAAGTTTGCAAACACGTCAGAGCTTGAGTTTTTCACGAAGTTATTTCCTCTCATCAAGTCTTCAAAACAGTACCTGCAGTATGTGTCGTTTGTATATCTCAGAATTTTTGATCTGTGACCTGAGGTTAGGTCAGAGTCGTGACCTTTACATTGCAAGCCTATGGAAAAGTATTGAAATGCGACCTGCACCTCGAGTTAACGAGTCAAAACCACCCAATTCTTTAAGAATTATGACAAATTATCTTATCTGTAATGATCCAGGTGCCATTTACTGACAGGGACACCGGAGAGGGTTATCTGAGCCGAGATCATGTGAGGTGATATCTACCATACATCAATGCTCACAATACTTACAATATTGACAATGCTTTTGCTTACAACACTTACAATACTTACGATGAGACCAGCAAGCACTCTGCCGTTACAGTTCTAACTTCTGTTTCGAAAAACGACGTTACACACATTCGCTGCCAGCATAACATGTATTGTTTGACAGTAACAAAATACAATTGACATCTGAACCCCAAACGGACCGCCATCCACTCAAATTTTATAACCCTGACCGGTCAAGGGGCGAATGGAGGTCATTTCCTGGGCATTACACTCAGCCCTTGCACAAAATATCTCACCTCACAGTGATCATTACAACAATAGCACCGACTTGATAGTGGATTTCAAAGCACTTGCATCAGCTCTTCCTGCTATTGCAGACGATCATCTCCTCAGGGTAATGTTGTTCGGGACATGAACGAAGATCGTTTTCGGAGTTTCATAAGTGCTACTGCAACAGCCTGGCACAAAACAGGACTTGTACGCTCTTCTCTGCACTTTGCCCTTCAGTATATCACAAAAGAATTGTTTAGAATCCATCTTACGCTTCTTTCACAGTCTCCCTTGCCACCGTAGGGCGTAGATAGATTGCTGTTGCTGGTAAGTTAACCCGCGCCCGGCTGGGGGTCCTGGATTTCCACGCCCTGCTGGGGGGGGGGGGGGTGTTTGAACACTCCCCCTTGTAACTCGGCTCCTGGGCCACGTAGCGATACGCAGAAGGCGGCGTTCGAAAGAGCGTCAAAAATAATGACGAATTCACTTCGGTCAATTTTTTGGTCAGGTCAAAGGTCAGGTCACCAGAGGTCATTGAAGGCAAAATTTCGCCGATTTCCAGGTCGAATGTCGAAAACTTCCAAGAAGCCAACGCATAACTCGGGAACCAATAGAGCTACAGCGCCGCGGAAAAGCGCATTCGATAGCCCTAATAACACCCTTTCTGAGTAATTCTCTCAGATTTGACCTAACGTCAACTATTTTGCCTGCAGGGGGCAAAAACTGCAAAAATAGTCGATTTTTTCGGAGTTTTTTCTGCAATAACTTTTGACCCAAGCCTTGTACGAGCTTACTTTTACCGGCATCGTGTTCCTCTCGTCAAGACGCATCGAATGAACTATAACTTGACCTTGAAAGGTCAACTTGAAAATTTGACCTCAGGTCAAGGTCATGACCTGACCGGAAAGGGTCATGTTGCACATCAGTCGATCCGTATCGTCGAGCTGAACACATCTAAGGCGTTTTCATCGGTCTAGTATGCCTCTATCAAAAGTTATTTGCGAAAAACTGTTAGATACCATTCGTGACCTAAGATGACCTCAGGGCATAAACAAGGGTCACGGACACCATTTTCATGTTCAGTGTGTCTAAACCACTTGTAATTCGGTGTTTGGGAGTGTTTATAATGTCTTTCATCCAAAAGAGGCGCATTTCAATTTTCTCCCATTGACTTATAATGGGGAGGTCGCAAAATTGACCTGACCTTAGGTCATCGATATCAAAATTCTGAGATATACATTTTGTACATGCTATTGCTCTTAGCAATCGCTGAAAGTTTCAAAACGATCGGTCACTCGGTGTAGCTATGACAGACATTGAAACTTTTTATGAGGTGAGGTCACTTCAAGTGACCTGGTGACCTGACCTTGAATGACCTTGGTCTGAAATTTTCACAACATGTGTAGAATTGATGTATGATAAGGTGTACCAAAAACGGCGGCGCTCCGCGCCGCCGTTTTTGAGATATTTGCGAAAAACCGCAAGGGGGGTGTTCAAACACCCCCCCCCCCCCAGCAGGGCGCGGGTTAAGGCACGGGAGATAGAAATTACCTCGGTTCTCAACGCCTTAAGTTATTTTCATAAAAAAGAACAAATAAATGATCAATAAGATGACAGGAATGTAAACATTTTAATCGTAAAGTAGTCCAAATATTGGAATGAGCTTTTGCTTTTCAGCATCCTCCGATTCATCATCTTTATCATTTGAAAATTCGAGGTACATAAAATGTTTATCACGCGCTCATGTTAAGTGGGAATATAGTACACGGCAGACACATCAATTTTTGACACTGAACATTTCATCCGTAAATGTTTTAGCATAATTTAAAGTTAAAAACAGCGCGAATGGCAGAGTGAAGCAAACAACATCTTTCACCCATTGATATAACATGTAATCTGTGGTGCGCCAGATGCGCCATTATTTGTCAACCGCAGAAGGTGACATGTGACGTAACAGCATCAAGAGCATCTTTTTTCAAGAACTTTTCAAAACAAGTTTCCTATCTTTCTTCCCCCATTTCTCTCAGCTTATTGATTTTATGAGGCAATGGTATGCACCATAAATTCTGTGAAAATAGTTTGATCATTTTCATGCATTCTTAAAAAATCGAGTTCCCAACCCCATTGGATGTCCTTGCACAATGTACGTATCACATTTTTGTTCCATTGCTCCTTCTGGCTAGTTTGCGATACGCTGACCAGGCTCCTTTGTCGTGTCATTCCTTCAGAAGCGATCTTATGAGGCATCCTTGGATGCTAGCGTCATTGCCTTTTACCATGCTCTAAGCTGTTTCATCTCCAGCAGAGGAAATAATGAGGGATTTGTCCACTGAGGTGTTATTTTCTTTGTTCGTAACAACGCATTATTTTCTTCAGACGCACATTTCTTAGAATTCCGAGCGAGCGACCCACCTAAAAACCCGAACGTCCATCTTATCAGCCCGTGACCTTTGCCGACTGTTACAAAACGCAGAGGCTTACTGGGAAACAATTTTCCAGTAGACAGCACCAGGATCCTACTCACAGTGCTGATTGGCTTGGGCTACGATGCTAGCTATAGATATTGTGAGATTTATACACAAACTGTGAGAAATAAACACCCTTTCATACCGCATTGTCTGCATGGTAAGCTTTCACCCAGACCACCGTCGTAAGCGGGATTCGCTTCCATCGGCGTCTCACACCAAACGCGGTCCTTATAAACGCGGCATCCATGTCTGTTTCTGGATCTAAATCGCGTCATACTGACTGACTCCGTCCCAGAAGTGTTGACCGTACGTATCATCCGTATCACCCATCCGGCTCAGCTCGGCATCGGCTAGCCATTGACCATCTCGTATCCTCTCTTCTCTAGCTGGACAGCTCCGACCGACTCAAGTTTGACGACGTGCTGGAGCAGCTGCTGAAGGGCCTGGAGCCCTCCTGCCTGGAGGAGCAGAACTTCTGCGTCAGCTTCTTCAGGCTCGGCGTGGACATGTCACAGTCTCAGGTTGGTGGTGTGTGATTGTGGCTGAGTCGGGATGGGTAAAAAGCTGCATGCCGGAAGTTCCTGTGCATTTTGATCAAATCAAACGCGTGTTATAACCATGGCTAGGAATGTAATTGTACAACATTTCTTGATGTAGTACTTTTTCTGTCGTCACATTGGTTCTTGTTTTTATTAACCCTCGCCGGCCGAGGGGGGGGGGGGGCGGGTGCCGCCCCCCCCCCATAGGGTTTTTTCGCGATAGCTCCGAACACGCTGGCGATAGAGAGCTGAAACTTGGCATACCTGACCTTTGATCCAAGCCGCATCTTTTGACACCAACCGCATTTTTGGGTCAGGTCAGGTCACTGACCTATGACGTCATAAGTGAACCTCTGCACGGTCTTCAGATGTCGCAACTTCGCAACGCCCTCACTGCCAGAGGAGATGTCACAGGGAAATGAAACTTGCAGGATCTAGTATCCATTATGAGTCTCACAATTTGTATATCTCGGATTTTTCCTAAAGGTCATATGAGGTCAGGTCATTTTCGTGACCTCACCATTATAAGTCAATGGGGAAAAATTCAAACTGCTATTCTGGCGCCGGGAACGATCTCCAACTATCTCAAGCACACAGAATCGTGATTTGATTCACTCCTTGCAAGGTTAGATGCGTCACTTTTGCAATGTTGACCTTCCGTGACGTCATTTATGACGTCATCAAGGTCATATTAGTTTTTCGTCAATAACTCCCGATCAAATTGAGCTAGCGAGTCGAGAAAGCCACCAATGGACTCAGGAAGACCTGCCGGATCGAATGATATGCGACATGACCTCTTTCGACCAACTTCGTGACCTTGGGGTGCTGACCTGACCTTGACCTGAGGTCAACACCCTAAGTTGACCTGACCCGAACAAAAAGTATATCATTCGACGCGCCTGAGCGAGGCGAACACGATGCTGCCAAAATCGCGGCTCTGCGGCCGTTTTTCGCGAAGTTATTCACCAAAAACTGAACCGTACCCTGGGGCACTTGACCTGACCTCAGAGGTCACCGGTTGACCTAGGACCTTAAAATCGGGTACCAATCTCTGCGTCTCGTAACGGCGCACACGCTCGTTTTTTCCGCGACGCGCTAGCTCCACCAGGGGCGAAACGGCGAGGGGGGGGGGTCGTACCCGCCCCCCCCCCCCCCTCGGCCGGCGCGTATGTAGAAAACCAATAGGTCCGGCGAGGGTTAACGCCTTCAGAATTGCCGGCTCATATTTGTCAGATATCATATTTGAATTAGTAGTCGCGATGCGACATTCCTATGTCGATTTGGACATCGCCGACATCGTCAGTGCTCTGAGATGACGGCTGCTTGACAAGAAATCATTGAATTCGCGCCCACTGGGAATGCTCTGAGATATGGCGGCGTCGGGCCGGAATTTCCATTCCAGATTGGCAGACTGGTGGTAAAACGGACGGAAAATGATGGAAATGTTTTGCCATTTTGTCGTGGGATTAGTGTTTCTTCTGCGTTCAGTTCAAATAATGTTGAAAATAATTTATTTATTTTTTATTTTTATTTATTTACCAGAATCACCAACAGGGACAAGCCCCACTGACAGGCGAAGTCAACATAAAAACAGTTAAACAGTATAAGACACATTGTAAACATCATACCTGTCGCATCACAGCTCGCAGTTCCCAACTATTTTATAAAATGAAAATTAAGATAAAGGTGTGCTAAAATACATGATGCATAAAAGAATCATCAAAAGATGCATATTAAAGTGCAAATGAAGCACGAGGGGGTAATAATAAACATCAGCAGAATGATGAGAAATTAAGAATACACATAAAAAGTAAATAAACACAATAAAAGTGAAGTAAAACAAAACAGAAGTGAGATCGGTGAGCAAAAAACTACACGTTTAAAACGTATGCGGTGACACGAGTTTTAAAAGCGCGTAAACTGTCATTAAATATGTCCGCCTCTGGATTGGTGGACAAAAAGTGTTGATTGCCTTCGGGATCCTGCAATACATGCCCGACTGCACTGCCATCACACGAGCGCGGGGCACAGCAAAAAGAGTGTTGGTGCGGGTCGATCGAGGTGGCACATGGAGAGGAAATGCATTCACAAGGATGGCGGAGCTGATTCTCCCATGAAAGATGTTCCTCAGGAAAAGGATATCGTGCTGGATCCTGCGTTGTGCCAGAGAAGGGATTTGAAAATGGAGTAATAGGCTGCTGTAGGAGAGAGACGGAAAGGAACCAGAGGATGTGTTCGCCAGCAGCCAGATGAGGAATTTGTGCTGAACTCGATCGACCCGCACCACGTGGGACTTTGCCGCCCCCGCCCAGACCGTACTGCAATATTCTAAAATGGAGCGCACGTTTGAGAAGTATGCGGCTAACACTGCGCTGCGGTTGAATTTTGCCTTGCCGAAGCCGACTTGAAAAGAACGAATGAGGAGGCCGAGCGCACGATTGGCCTTGCGAACAATGTCTGATATATGCGGCGCGAACGTTAATTTGGTGTCGAGGGTCACCCCTAAGTCCCTGATCTCGCTCACATGTTCTAGTTCCGCATCGGCTATAAAATATTTGGTCTGGACGGGGGCACGCTTGAGGGTCATCGTGAATGATTTGCACTTTTTTGGATTTAGAGTAAGTCCCCATCTGACGGACCAGGCTGACAGCTGATTGAGGTCGTTCTGCAGCAATAGTCCGTCAGCTGGGGAGTTGATAATGCTGCTTCTTGAAGTCGCAATGATGCTTAGTTTCTATTCGGTTAATTTGATTGAAGCGATCTTTAATTGGTTATTCAACTTTTCATTTCCTCGAAAGGTCTCGAAATGCGTAGAAGAAAGGGCAGGTTACAGTATCCGTAATACAGCTTTTTATATCCCCATTTGCGTGGTGTTACCTACTGTTCATGTCGACCGATGACTTAATCGAATAACGAAATACAAATTATTTTAATTCTTTGCTTATATGGAACCAGTCAGGGATTAACTAGTGTACAAATTTAACTTCATAAATATTATATATTTCCCCTATACCCTGCTAACTCGAAGAACCCGCTGGTCGAACCCCCGAACCGATTCCAGTGGCGAGCCTCGGATCAATGGCTGGCATTACAGCCTGGAACTGATACGGCTCTCGGGGACCATGGCTCTGGCGGTGGCCGGTGAATACCCTGGACTGGGACATAATGGCCAATGCCTCCCTCCCCGGTCGGTAATTGACCCGACCAGTACCGAGAGCAAGTGATATTCATAGCGCGCGGGATGCTTGGCGCTCACCCTTTACCGAGGCTGTTGATATTAACGTAATACGCCGGGGATTTTTCTCGGAAGCTAGTCTGGAACGTCTGACCTGTCTGTCTCATGAGAAACAAAATAGTTAACATAAACTGACTGAGCCGTCGGGGCTAGGTCACTTTTGACCTTACCACGTGACCTTTCAGCTTATTTTCCCAGATTTTACTCGAGAGACTGACTTATCAAGCACAGCGGAAACGTCAACACGTGACATTAATATTGAGCATATGGTATTGTACTGCCTTCCTTCTCCGAATAATCCTGGCGTACCCGGACCTGGTGTGACCTGATGCGATGCTCGATATGTCATTAGACCCAATGCGCGAACTTCATGCTTCGTGATACAAATTGGCCAACCCGACCCAACTCTATCTCTGTTCGTAACCTATGCTGTCCTGAACAGAGCTGGTTTGACACGACCCAACCCGACCAAACCTGCGCGGACGCTACCCGATTACCGTACTGACTCGTTCTGACCCGACTTCACCTGCGCAGTGCGCCTACCCTACCTGACCTGTCGGCGGTTGGGGACATGCAGCAGCTGACCTGTGACAGGCTTGTCTGACCCGACCTGCCGGCTACCCACAGAGCTCGCAGCTAGACTGAGACACATAAGTCTGACTCGACCTGCGAACTACCCACAGAACTGCCGCTAGACTGAGACACATAAGTCTGACCCAACCACCGGCTACCCACAGAACTCCTCTCAGCTAGACTGAGACACATAAGTCTGACCCAACCTGTCGGCTACCCACAGAACTGCAGCTAGACTGAGACACATACAGGGTGGAAAGTAATTACGCGAACATGTATTTTCTTACAATTTTGACCGTCAGTGGAGCATTTTTATGAGTACGGGCTGTCATGGAACATAATTGGTCGTGTTTGTTGTCGCCTCATATACCAAAAGTGACCTAACTTTGAACAATGACCTGGAAGGTCTTAAACAACCTCTCGACTTAAAATGGTGCAGACACCATACGCTGCACAAGACCGAAATGGGCAAAGAGCTCAATTTGGAGCTGCCAGGGAAAGCGTTTGTGATTATTTTCGCTGGACTGGCGGAGAAGGGATTCGTAGCGGTCTCAGCACCAGCATTGCACAATTATACGTTTTTTTTTTTAAACATAATAACACTTGAGAGGACTTAAAAAGCAAAGCCGTCCGCGGCAGCAACCCCTCGGCGAATTCTGTCGCCGGATGGGTGGTCACCATGTCGGCGACAAAACGACGCCAGTCGACCCGAAAACTGGCAAAACAGCTTACTCTGGCCGGGTACCCGATCTAGGATATCACGATTCGCACATTAATACGCAAAAATTCGAAAATTAAGTCGTTCAAACCCTCGGGATGACCAAAATTCACAAATTAACAGCAGAATTGTTAATTGAAGCTTTTCAAAGACAATCAAAGATGGACAGAGGAGGACAGACAGCTGGATTTGTGGTTGGGTGAGACATCTGTGAAACTGTTTCATCCGTCAAACCTGCAGAACAACTGCTCTGAGGGCTGCTGTTGCGTCCTATGTCCCGTCCGTCCCAACCTTCAAACATCCGGCAAAGGAACACAGCAGTGGGTCACGAGCCCCTGGGTGGTGTCTGAATTGCGTGTAGCGCTAAAAAGGTCACTAAAAATAAAGTATACAACCGTTGGAACATCCTCCAAGACGAGTGTCTCTGTCTAATCCACCGTGCAACGAAAGGGGCAAAATGATTGAGCGCACTTTTGTGCCCGACGCAAAGAAACTGCTCTTCGTGATTGGTGAAATCCTTAGTTTCGTGGCCAACAAAACGCAATACTGGTGCTGTGAGAACCTGTTTTTCTTCAGGACATACAAAAGCTGATCTGGGAAACGCCTGGGCCTCAATTCGACTAAAAATCTCCAGATGACTCCTCAGGAGACCGTCTAAAAGCTGCAAGGAGCCACCAATACCGATTACCTCACTGGACAGCTCTATAAGGTGTGGGCTGAGCTTTGGCCAACAGATCTTCACATGCTGATGTAAATCATGCCGGAACGCCTATGTCAATGCATCGCAACTAGATAAGGATAAAGTAAAACATATATTGTTTATGTCACCGCCGTTTTTTCATTACTAGAAGACGAAAAAGTATGTTCGCGTAATTACTTTCCACCCTGTAAGTCTGACTCGGCCTGCCGGCTACCCACAGAACTCCTCCCAGCTAGACTATGACACATTAGTCTGACCCAACCCACCGGCTACCCACAGAACTCCTCACAGCTGGACCTTAGTCTGACCTAACCTGCCGGCTACCCACAGAGCTACTTGCAGCCTAGACTGAGACACTTTAGCCTGACTTGACCTGCGAACTACCCACAGAACTGCAGCTAGACTGTAACACATTAGTCTTGACCCAACCTGCCGACTACCCACAGAGCTACTTGCAGCTAGACTGAGACACAGTTTGACCCCCAACCTGCCGACTACCCACAGAACTCCTCCCAGCTAGACTATGACACATTAGTCTGACCCAACCTGCCGACTATCCACAGAACTCATTTCAGCTGGACTGAGACACATTATGTAGTCTGACCCAACCTGACGACTACCCACAGAGCTCCTCACAGCTGGACTCGCTGTCGGAGGGAGGGATCGGCCGACAGGACGAGGTGCGGTCGCTGATGAAGGAACTGTTCGGCGCACTGGAGACCGAGCTCAACTCGTTCCTCGCCCAGCACGAGCGGATCGACAGCTTGTGAGTGACGATGGACGGGGGCATCTCTTCACTTATGATTTTTTTTTTGTACCTACATATTTCATAATATTACACCTGTTTATCGTTAAAGAAAACTTCACTCAATATTGAGCAAAAACAACGTCATCCGTTTACATTACGGAAATTGCAGTAAAGCTGAATGAATCACTTTATTGTCTACTTCTGAAAACTTTTCCGATCCAAATGTCGCCAATTCGTCAAAGCTGTCTCTTGAGTTCTATTTTGAGTTTCAGCTTCACAGCATAATTGACTCATGAATCATGCTTGGCTCTCCATGGGGTCATTGGCTGTAATAATTTCGCGTTACTCAGTCTGTCTGGCACTGGTGTGTCAGCTGGAGGTGGTTTGTGATATAGGTAGTTAGATATCCCACGTCAATCTTAAATGGTTAAATTAAAATATCAGGTTTTGCTCCGGAACCGTACGCACAAACCTTGGGCCGCTGAAATGTCAGGCGGCTTTTATCGCCGGCTTAAAATACATAGAAAATCTTCTTGGGAGCCGGTCCGGCCCCGCGAGCAGCTATCTTTGTGACGCAGCGACGCCGGCCGAGCATTCATGCGACAAATTACGAGACGACGGCGGATTCAGCCTTTGCCGCACAAGTGCTCGCTGCCTTTGGATGAAGCCAACCGACTAGTTGGTGTATATTTACGGAGCTATTTTGGGTTCAAGCAGACCTGTGAACGCATGGATTTCAATGCTGAACTGGGGTCCGATCTTACAAATGTCGTGGAAGGGATGTAGAAGCACTGGCTAAAGTTCAACTGCAGAAAACGACTATTAAATGCAAAATTATTTTTTACGCATTTCAGTCCATCATATGTTGACGGTCTCAGTAATCGTTTCGTTGACTCTTATACGCATTTGCTAACACTGGTATTACTGTAAATGTTACCAAATGTCATGAATTATTGAATAGCATAGAAAGACTGGGCCCTGCAGGCCCGGGATTTGACCATTTATTGAGCGACAGAAAGAGAGTTCAGTATCACCACCGCTCACCCTGTCTTAGACTACTATCCTTTTGATTCAACCCGACTACGTTTTGTTGCGCCATGTCCTTAAAGAGGCTAGTGTATTGCCAGACTCTTGGTTGAGTGTTTTGTTATAGGATCATTCTAGAAAAGTTTGTATGGGTGCTGCCGCCGTTTTGTGCTGGGCTCCACCTTTTTCACATAAGTGGTTGGGACAAGTGAAGTTGATTTAGACATAAAACCCCATATAAAACCTGATAGCCATTGTAGCATTGATATTGTCTGTGCTACCAGAAAATTGTCCACGAATAGCCAAGCTGCCTAATCAATGGCGAGACTAGGCTGTGACGTTGGAATATTAACCCGTTTCTGCTGCTGAAAGCCTTGGTATTTTATCGATGTCCTGCTACCGGGATGGTAAAATGACAGCGGCCGGATTGAACCCCTTAGGATACAAAACCCTTCAAAGAGTGTTTCATTTTTAGTACTCCTCCGGCACTAGAAAACCTACGAACAATGAGGTCATTCATGTCTTCCTTCCCGGAAACCATCTCTTATCAAACTTAGTACGGTCGTCAGATTTGGCCGTTTACATCCATCGCGCACTCATCCAAACAACTGCCGACTGCCGGTTCTGCGCCTGTTTAAAAGTTGCAGCTCCAGTGCTTCTCAATTAACGCTCCGATGAGGTGTCGGAGACGACTCGTCGACGTTTTGATGTTCGCTGGCGATAATCAGACTACCATCAATCAATCAATTCATCCGGCCGCTAGCAGCTGCTTTCTTCGCATCGATGCAGGGCGCCACTGCGGCGTTTTGCCACTCTTCCTGGAAGATATCATCAGGATGCAACGGATATGCCCCGTCGCGAAAATGGCCACTCCTTGGCGCTTTTTATCTTGCTCTCGGCGGCTTTACGATGCGGCTGTTGCTCAGTTGGCAGCGCTGACCCTTGCGTCAGCACTTGCTGAGCTGATGTCGAGCTCGTCTTGGCTCGGATATTCCGCTGACTAGAGGTAACAGGTGCTTTTTCAGCCACTTGGAGTCTGTTAATATGATCTTAATGTTCCGATGCGAGAAATTACAAGGCTGCGACGATGGAAGGCGATACTGACCTGCAATTAATTGGACGTAATAAGTGCTCACTAAACCGTTCACATAGCATTAATTGCAGGATTATGTACGTACAACCCACTTTGCGTCTTCAAAACTCCTTCTCTGCGAACAACTTTTCTCTCCGGACCTACCATAGGTTTTATCCTATGGTAGGTCCATCCTCAAATACACTGATGTATTTCCACAAACGTCCCGGCCGCTCCGGCGGCCATGAGACACTATGGAGCGAAGCAGTTATAGCTGGACTCTCCGGAAGTTAGCTTGGCAACTCAACTCCCCCCTCCTTCGCAGACTCGCTGGTGGCTGTTTTTGGCCTGGATGTCGGTAGTGCGTCAGCTGTAACTGACATTTGGAGAGCGAGTCTGACCCCGACTGCAGCAGTGGGGGCGTTATTGTTGTTCTGAGCTGTCCTGCGCGATATTGCAAGTTACTGTTGTGCTCTTTTGGAAGGGGTAAGCTCTAGGTTTTCAGCGCCAGGGGTAACATTGTATCAGTGTTATCAATGCATCTAGGCTACCCATTCTTAAGATGGAATTTTGGCCTAGCCTTGTCGATAACCACCTCGCGTAGAGCTGAAGCGCTGGCATCCATGGGGTTGCACGTATTCCTTCCAATGTTGACTAAGCGGCGCCATTTTATGGTCATGTCGATAGCTATACTTCCCCTCTTACTCTGCCATTCAGCGTGTAACAGACCATTACATGTCAGTTGAGCCCCATTCCATGTGTCCAAAGCTTTTATTCATGCACGTTTGCGGTGACATTTTGATTTATTACCTACCGCGTCGTTCCATTTGAGTGAAGTGGTGTTGACAGTGCAGTAACAGCTCTTACCGAGTTCTGTTGCGATGCGGCGGTGGTCCATTCTGCTGCCTGTAAATGAGTCTTGTTTCCAGGCAACATATCGGACGTCATTTGCTGCGGCCACCCGTCCTTTGCGGCCACCCGTCAGCTGTCCGTTTGGATCTTATTGCGGCTCAAAATATGACATTCTGGTGCGAATAGGAAAAACTCAGTCCTGGCTGTCACTGTCATATTCAGCAGAAGCGCTGGTTTTAGCAGATATGTGACGGGAACAGAGGTGGGTGCTCTGACCCCCTGGTTCTTAGTTTGATGGTGTCTCATATAGGCGACAACAGCCAAGGAGCTAACTAGAATGAGAGCCAACCAAGAATGATAGCTTCTGGACTGGCTCACGGCTGGCTATTTGGTGGCTGACTAAGTGCGCTGTAAAATTCATATTAGCGCCAGGAAACGGCTGTAGAGCGCTCGCTGGTACCGGACTGATAACGCAAGCTCGACCATCAATCGAGATGAATGTTGACTGAGCGTTGTTAATGTTTTTTTTTCCAATAGGTAGGCGCATATGGATAGCTGCGTATCACCATGCGCTCGGAGCTGTGTTAAACGCCAATTAATCATGATTCCAATGCTGATGCTGAGCTTAGTGCTCAGTTATGGCGCTGGAATGACTTATTGAGTCAGTGCACTCTGATCATTTGACAGGGCTGTGGTAACCAAATTTTCCGGTCTTCAACTTGGTTACTGCTTCGCCAGGATAAATGTATGGGACTTGTCGTTTGGTTGAGACTACTGACCATTGAACAAGCAAAAGAGTCGTGTTTTTAGCAAAACTTAGATAAACGGCGCACCTTAGTGACAAGTACTGGCCATGTGTCGCACTGACGGCCACGCTCGTATGGATAGTTCTAACTTCTAACTCTACTCCACATAGGTCTGATGCCTCTTCAAATTTCCTCAAAAATTATTCGTGGCATTCAACTGCAGTTTATCAACCGCGGGAACCATTGTGAATGTTATTTGTGGGCTCGTAAGAGCATGGTGCTAGTAGCAATTAACGTGAATATAACAGTGAGGATGCTTCGCTGGAGTGTCCGCTTATCTCCAAGTTATGATCATCATAAGTGTCCACATGAGCTTTCATAATGAATGCGATACTACTTGCATTACATATTTAGCCTGTGTAATTGTTTAGCGTAATTACTCTAAAGATTGCTTGCACCGTATTGGATTTGTTGCGCGTTTGTTTAGATTAGAAGGCGATCCAGGTTCAAAATAACCCCTTTTCTGTGGTTTAACTCGATTTTCAATGGCGGCGATGCAGTAGCGAGCTAATGTGCTTCGTTATTGTACCACGACACTCGCCCCTCTGTGTATTTCTCCAGCTGCGTGATGCACATCCTGGTGCGTCTGTCGGAGCACGTGAGCAGCACGCAGGACTCGGGCTCGTTCCTGCACCAGACACTGGCCGCCGCGCTGGTGGCCAGTAAACAGAACCTGGACAGGCTGATGCGGGCGCAGATCGACTCGGTACACGCCTGTCCGCCGCCCAAGCGGTCCAAGTGCGGCGTCCTGCCGTTTGTCTCCAACTTTCAGGTGAGAGGGGAGGGGAGAGAGAGGGGAGGCGTGAGATATCACATGCAGACATACAGGGATGTAGAAGAACGGTTCTGGCGAAAAAAGCAGTCATGTTGTAAGGAATTGATAATCGCTCTAATCGATAGTTGCTGAACTGGCAGCAGCTGACAATAGTTCGCTCAAATGACGTTCACTCAAATGACGCTCGCTAAAGTCGCTTGCACCGGCTTCAGCAGGAGTCGAACTCTAACCCTTCCTCTCCTAGGAGCTGACGTCTAACCCTCTCCCCCAGGAGCTGACGTCTAACATCCCACCCCCTCTTCCCCCAGGAACTGGCCGCCATCGCCGAGTCTGTATTCCGTGAGTCGAGCCGCCGTGCCGACCTGGACCGCTGGTACGGCCGGCTGATCCGCGCCGTCATCGACCAGGTCTCCGTCACCGGCCAGCAGCATCAGAAGACGCCGCTGGAGGTGGTGCAGATGGAGAACTTCCACCACCTGCACGCGCTCCTGATGCGCCTCAAACTGGCCGGACTGGAGAGCGAGAAGCGCGAGGTGAAACAGAAGTATAATGAGGCACTCAAGGCGTACGTGACGAGATACTTCGGGCAGCCACTCATCAAACTTAATGTGAGTAGGGGAGCGGAGTTTTGTGTCTTGTGTGTAATTTTGGTTAGATGGTGTAGGCGCTCAGGCTAGGCTATACTTTGGTCTCCTTTTCGTCGCTAGTAACGATTAAAACGGAATTTTGTTGTCGCTGCACCTCAATTTTAGTTTTCTCATTGCTTTGGTATTAGGTCGGAAGGATAAAAACCAAAACATCACAAGTCCGAAACTTAATCAGCTTCTGGCCTCTCAATCCTCTTTTAGTTTGTCGCTCGCTGGGATGCAATGTTGTGATCCTGAAAAATATCCGAAAAGTTACTGATGCAGCAACAATGACGGCCTCCCTCCGGCACCACACCGACGCAAACAAAGCCCATCCAGACTGGGAGGCTCCCAAGCGGGTCACCCCACTGGGAGGGGTCTGTGCCACAGCAGACACTTCCGGCGGCCGGTAGCCTTCCGACAGAGCAAACAATAAAATAGCTCGGAAACGAACCGAGAATCCCGAAGATGATATAATGGTTTTAACTTCCGCCCCGCAGCAATTATTTCTTGAAATAAAGAAGTTTTCCATTTCTTCTCCAGACAACAGCTCGTCTGACGGCTGTATACTCTATTGTAAACTATTGTAAACCGTATCTGATTGGCTTTTATTTATTCCACTAAACCCGTATTGACTCAGGTTTGTTTCTCAATGTATTGTACCGGTAACAAGTTTTTTTGTTACGATGCTTTTCATCCTGCATCAAAACTTCTGATTAAATAGTAATTTGTCAATTACACGTCATCGTTTCATGTTTCATTATTTGATCATTTCGTCACAATAATCTCTTCTAGAAATTTCCGGCCCGTTCATTGTATTGCGCGTCTATTTTAAGTCTTTTCAGTCTTTCTGCTTTGACTTGTTTCATCCAGAGATTACCTAATTCGGCGAGATTTTCAGTGGCGCATTGTGCCGATCCCCATTGCGCAGCCAACATGACGCCATTTCACGAGACGCAATACCGCCTCCGTTCTCCGCTCTGTTCGGCTCGCAAAGCTAATTTTCTCCATTGGGAAGCCGCATAACTCGTGACAAGAGTTGTTTGCACTACCAATTTAATTTGTCCATGCCGGAGGGCGCAGGCCGCCCGTGGCTTCTGATTGGTTCATTTCGAACACGTGCGTGGTCCCGATTGGTTCATTTGTTCGGAGGCTGCCACGAAGCCCGATTTAGGTTAATGAGTTGGGTTCTATATCGGGAGGTGTCCTGCGGTGCGGCGCAATAGCTTCCGATCCAGATTTTTTATTTGGTGTGATTTGCAGTGATTGATGTCGCTGTCATGAATGCGCCGACGAGTCATCAGTCATTAGCATTGAGTAGTTAGATGCTCACATGCCGCTGGCATCGGGCCGAATCAAATCATTCGAAGTCAAATAAAATGATGTGGTTGTACCCACGCTATGTCAAGTTGTGATTGATCCATGATAGCTGTCAAATCTTCCGAATCATAATGTGTAGATGCGCAAAATAGCAACGCATTGCAGTTCCCCATGACCGCGTATTTCTTGAAAACAGCTGAGCTGGTCATTGAAATGCCTCCCCCGAGCGCTCCTGACTGCCGGGATGACTATTAGTCATACCCATTAGTCATTGACTAATCCTCCCCTGTAGTAAGGTGGGCCGTATTATTCAGCCTCCAACCCCGTCCCGCCCCTCCCCAGCCGTGATGATTGAGAGGGCCAGACGCCTCTCCCATCCCCGGGCCGACCGTCGGTGTGCTCTCAGAAAACACCCGCCGGGCAAATGACGTCATTAGCCCGTCACATTTGATGACGTCACGCCGGAGATCGTGTGCGGGCCGAGATTGGTTTCCGGTAGTGTCCGTGACATTTTCGGTAGCGGGCTCATCCCCGTGCCTATGTCTATTGGTGTGTGCTTCTGCGTATCTGAGTTCGTTTGTGTTTGTGTGTTTGTGTTTACGGCTCGCTTGTATACGTGGGTGCGTTTAGGCTGGCTTGTGTTGATGGAAACTGAGAAAGTTGTGCAAATAAGCTTCCCCAGCTGGAGATCAGAGGGACTCGAATGTCGCCGCTTCGGGGGCCCGATCATGAGCTGTTTTCCTCCAGGGAAAATGTAGTAGAGCTGGTGTTCCACATATCGCAGAACATGGTGTCAATTCTGGCAACGTGGTTGATATGGATCACGGGCGTCGCGGCCCCTTTGGCCAGATGCCAGAATGCTTGTTGGTCTGCCAGAATGGCGAGGTCTAATTTATTCAAGGGTGTTGTTTCCTTTCATTGATGGTGTTCTTGGGCTCAGCTGTCTAGTTCCTAGTCCGGTCTTTTATCATTTTATAACTTAACTTTGGTGCTGATTCGTAATACGGACTCACGAAACTTTCTCATGCATTTCTAACAAAGCACGTCGACTTCTTTGTTCTATATGCAGTGAACAATGAGTATCTATAGCGATATTCTTGTCCCGCACAGATATATTCTTGTCTTGGGTCCGAATCCGCAACATTTTCACTCTGGTATCGCTTCGTTGCGGTTTACAAATGTTCACCTCTACTCACTGTTCCTTGTTTCCTCTGTCCCACAGCAATTTTTCGGCGGCGTGCAGTCCAAGGTGGCTCAGGGGGTGCGCGAGGCTGAGATGGGCTACCAGCACGCCTTCAGCAAGCAGGAGCTGCGGAAAGTCATCAAGGAGTACCCGGGGAAGGAGGTGAAGAAGGGACTGGACACGCTGTACAAGAAGGTGGAGAAACACCTCTGTGAAGAGGAGAATCTGCTTCAGGTGAGAGCCAATGGTGACTTCTGTTTGACGAAGGCTAGTGGTTTGTGTTTTGTATTATTATTTTTAGCTTGAATGGTTCTTCTGTTGATGATACAACAAAGTATGATAGAAGTGCCGTGTTTTATTTGACGTTCGGCATGATTTGCAAAAGCCTCCAATTTCGCTATCGCTGAATGCTCACTAATGGCTTTAAGCCTGATCTGTTTCCTCTAACGTTATAACATGCCAGTCCGGTGGTAAAATACGTTATATGGACACATCCAGTGCCAGCCGTAATGGCCTAAGGGCTGGCCAGCGCGCTATATGGCTACATGACCACACCATCGTATATCGTATTAATGTGCACGGCGCCACTGGCTCCGGCAAAGTCCGGTAATTTAGAGTGATAAAGGCGCCCTTGTTTTAGAGAGACAGTGGCGGCACAGCGGGTCCCGGGTTCCAGGTAATGGCACATGTAAGGGCGTTATTGATTTGAAAAGTTTGATGAATAATGACAGAGGTGGAACTTTTTGTTTTTCATTGGGGTTGTAGTTTGCCGGAGCCCAGGGTATACCCCCACCAAAACCCGAAAAGTCCCCGGATTCGGCCCACTATTTTTCGGGAGGGGCCCACATTTTCATTTACAAAAATAAAAATAAAAAAGTGGTCCACCTTCAGGGAGAGACGGCTGGCCCTGTCGTCCCTCCATTGGCTATGTGCCTGGTTGTAGGTACTCGGGTATCGCCACCATGGTCGTGGCCATAGGCGGCGGAACGGGGAGGGCACCGGGGCACCTCGCCCCCCTTTGATTTTGGCATTTTAACATAAGCCCTACCTATGGGCGTTGCATGGAAAGAATGGGACCAAAAGTCGGCAGTGCCCCCTTTAATTGAGGGTGTTCCGCTGCCACTGGTCGTGGCGATTCGGAAACGGTAGGTAAACGCCCTAAATCACAGTCCCTATGAATACTTGTTTCTTTCCACATTTGACACAAACATTACTCAGTATTGGAGCAAGGCTCTTTCCCTACGAGTAACAATTTGAGCCACTCGTGGCAATTGACAAAGAAGACCTAAACAGGAATACGTTATTTTTAGACTAAAAAACTTAAAACGAGTCCATCTTTGTATATTAATGCCACGGACGTCTGCAATGCGTCTATTACGGAAACGGGTAGTAGAAACCGGAATAGTGACTGATCAGACATGAGATATTTTGCAAACGAGGACAACATACCGAACACAATGCCGCAAAGGAACCTAACACTGGATCTAAATAATCTCAACCTGAGGAAATTAAATAATAAATGCCACAGCCTTTTCATATCACCGAATACTTCAGATGATCTTCTTTTTTCAACGAGCAAATGTAGGTATTATGCATTGTTTGGCGAATCGTAAACAAAACTCATACTCTTCACAGCCACGATGGCTAGGAACACATCACGGCTTGTCTGTCTGCCCCTGAGACACTGAACGTACACCGATTTTCAGCTAAATCGAAAGACCCCGCCGTTTACCGTTAAAATGTAAATTGGCCGTTAATTCGTTAATGTTGCAAAATACCACCCCAAAGAGGTACATTTTCGGAATGAAGCGCATCGAGGAGGCCCTGTACACCGATTTTCAGCCAAATCGAAAGACCCCGTCGTTTCCCGTTAAAATGTTGATTGGCCGTTTACTCGTTAACGGTGCAAAATACCACCCCAAAGAGGTATATTTTCGGAATCAGCGCATCGAGGAGGCCCTGTATACCGATTTTCAGCTAAATCGAAAGACCCCGCCGTTTCCCATTAAAATGTTAATTGGTCGTTAACTCGTTAACGGTGCAAAATACTACCTCAAAGAAGTACATTTTCGGAATCAGCGCATCAAACAGACCCTGTATACTAATTTCCAGCTAAATCGAAAGACCCCGCCGTTTCCGGTTAAAATGTTAATTAGCTGTTTCAAAATACCACCCCAAAGAGGTACATTTTCGGAATCAGCGCATCGAGGGGGCCCTGTACACCGATTTTCAGCTAAATCGAAAGACCCCTCCGTTTCCCGTTAAAATGTTAATTAGCCGTTAACTCGTTAACGGTGCAAATACCACCTCAAAGAGGTACATTTTCGGAATCAGCGCATCGAGGAGGCCCTGTACACCGATTTCAGCTAAATCGAAAGATCCCTACTACTTGATAAATGTTTCCCGTTAAAATGTTAATTAGTCGTTAACTCGTTAACGTTGCAAAATACCACCCCAGAGAGGTACATTTTCGGAATCAGCGCATCGAGGAGGCCCTGTACACCGATTTTCAGCCAAATCGAAAGACCCCGCTGTTTCCCGTTAAAATGTTAACTGGCCGTTAACTCGCTAACGGTGCAAAATACCACCCCAAAGAGGCACATTTTCGGAATCAGCGCATCGAGGATGCCCTGTATACCTACCGATTTTCAGCCAAATCGAAAGACCCCCGCCGTTTCCCGTTAAAATGTTAATTGGTCGTTAACCTCGTTAACGGTGCAAAATACCACCACAAAGAAGTACATTTTCGGAATCAGCGCATCAAACAGGCCCTGTATACCAATTTTCAGCTAAATCGAAAGACCCCGCCGTTTCCCGTTAAAATGTTAAATAGTCGTTAACTCGTTAACGGTGCAAAATACCACCCCAAAGAGGCATATTTTCGGAATCAGCGCATCGAGGAGGCCCTGGATACCGATTTTCAGCCAAATCGAAAGACACCGAAATATGCTGCTGTGAGGCTGATATTCGTTGCTGCTGAATTGACAGACGTCGCCAAAACCTTGCATTTGTATCAGATGCGTCATGTTGGCTTACATGTGACTTTAGTTTGCATTCTGTTCGCGAACCTGTCAGTAAGATTATCAGCACTAATTATCGCACAGGATTGGTTGTTATGGTCGTCAACGTTGGTTTTAAGTGTCGTCATTTTAGCTAAATATTCGTGCTGATTGGTGGTATTGTGCCAACTGACAAAATTGCGAACAGAGTGATATTTCACTTTAGAAATGTATTTTGATTGTGCGTGGTTCTGTGCAAGATACCTATAAGAAACAGGTAGATCCGATGTTTGAAAGTAAAGCCCCAGTCACAAATTTGACGCACCCGTTACATTTCCTGACACCCACGTGACTATTGTATTAACTTTTGTGTTTTGCGATGTTTTGACCTTATTAAAAGTACTGAAAGCTGAAAATGTATTATTAATGTTGTTTAAAGCAGCATGTTAATAATTATGTTTGTAAATTATCGATAAACTGCTTATAGCAGGTCACGTGATTGCTACCAGATTATGTGCTCAGAAAGCATCTTTTCAACTTCGATTTTGAACAATTTTTACCTCCTTTGAGGCCAAATGATGGACGGTTTGAGGCACACGATGAAATGCTGAATCTATTGATGCCAAAATTTGTTCGTTTTTTGCATTTTTAGACTAGTATATCCTGGCTCAAACTTTGACCAGTTTGTGTGTAAACCCTATGGTGAAGGGAAAACTTCACGCCCAGCAGGCGTGATAACAGTGCTGCCAAATCGTGTTTGGTGGGGGTCGGTTCTGTGGTCGTTGACACGCAATATTATGGTCAGATTATGGTGATAGAATGCTACATAGGGTGAAGGCTTAGGTTAGGTTAATTTATTTCTTAAGCTGACTGTTTTCTGTCAAACTTTTCATATATGCTTATCTATTTGATAAGCACAGCCCACAGGTATGAAATGTTTAGTGAGAAAACCCAAAAGTACAGTGGCGGATCCAGGGGGGGGGGGGGCAAAATGGGCATTTGCCCCTCCCAAACGGCATAATTTAAACATTATACCTATGGACGAGGCATGGAAAGAATCGATAAGTTGTTATGGTTCCCCCCCCCCCCCCCCCCCGAAAAAAACTGAGCTGGATCCGCCACTGCAAAAGTATGATGATTGTTATGATTTTTTTGCTTCACACTTTCATGTTACATGTTAAGATTTTTTGGAACACTTTCAATATGATTCACTTAGTATGCTTGAGAAGTGTGAAGTGATTAACTTTCATATCATGCTCACTGTCTCAGTCTCAGCGGAATGATATGTTCTTAACAGAGCACTTTCAATGTTTTTAGCATCTGGAATTCAAAAAGATGTCCTAATTTATTGATATCTTCACTTTCTTGATATATCTCAATTATCTGCTTCTGTATGATACATATTTTGTTCATTTTCATGTCTTTTAGGCTGATTCTTAATTTTCCAATGTTGGGGTTGTAGTTTTGCCATTGGGGTTGTACTTTTAAAAGTTGGGGTTGTAGCTACAACCCCCACAGTATATAAAGTTCCGCATGTGAATAATGAAATCCATAGTGTGCATAATGCATATGACAAGGCGCCTAAGGTCATAATGCTTGGATAACTGCCCGCAAGCCCTTTTCTTAACGAGCCAACTGCTGTTGCGAATATAATTTACGCGTTTATTGTAGGCTCACAATTATAGGACGACTGTTATGAAGGCCAAATGGAGCGCATTGATAAGTTTGGCTCATACTTGTATTTGTCGACGTACGATTCTTATAATATTCTGCCCTCCTGCACAGATTTGTATTAATTTGATTCATTGCACCACTCACAAATGACTGATATCACATTTTTCGGCTGCATCGAGCTATCTGTTCTCAAGTATGCGGCACTTGAGAATTGTGTGCACTCGCCCTAGGTAGGCTGAGACGGCCGCCTGTATGTGGACATGAAGTGCTCTTATGGTGCTGACTACTTTCGGAGCGACATCGAATTGTATTGATTGCAGTCATTTTCGAGTGTCATTGCTGATAGTAAAATGTTTAATCCGCTTTGCCGGTCTCGATAAGACAGCAGTGTCCGTCAAAATGGCTGGATAATGGTCGCGAGGTACTTTTCATCAATGTGGTCGGGAGTGGTACTAAAGTGACGGCAAAGAAGTAGTACTTTTGTGAAAGGCCGGACCACGTAATTAAAAAAAAAATATACACTCGGGTTGGACCCATTTTAGAATATTGATATTTTAACTGAGTCCATCGGTGATACGATGTGACAGCATATCAATTGATAACCCTAAATTTTCCGTTAAACAAATAGAAAAATCATGCATCCGTTTTTCTATAAAAAAAAAACTATGCCGCTCCCTACCCCGACTAGGGACTCTTCTACCGTCGCTCGGTCGCCGTCACATCCTGTTCACATCTGAGCTCCGAGTCTCTCGGTTCTGGGAAAACACTCTGAACGTTAGCCAACCGCGCGTCGGCCAATGTCAACCGGACACCGCCCCTGCCGACGACAGGCGAGACGGTCTCCGTCACAGGTCCGCTCCGCCCCGAATCGTTTCGCTCCTCCCCAGTTCGCGTCAGTGCGCTTCGCTTCGCCCCGGCGCATGTCACTCAGTCTCTCAGGTTGAATGTGTGTCTGGCTTGGTGATTGGTTGACCAGCTGTCTGTCTCCTGGCCCAGCTGTCGCTACGCTGCGCGAAACATTTGACATGACCAATGGACCATTGACCAGACCGTTTCGTGCCCTTATCACAATTTCCTTCAAAATAATTCACGCTTCACCCCTCCCATTATTGTTCTACCAATGTCGTCTACCAGTGTAGTTCTATCAAAGTTCTACCTATACCTTTTCCGTTGCGCATCAATTTGCGCTGATTAATTATCTGTCTAAACGTTCGTTGTTCGTATATCTGATCACGCAACTCTGATCGGAATGGAGCATGTCGTGCATCCAGTAATATCTGCCCCCCCCCCCTCCCCTCCTGTCCAGCTCTCCCGCCTCATATTCTCTCCATTATATTAACCTCTCTCCCTTCACACTACGCCACCGTCGTGAAAAATAAAAATGCACCGGCGGTGGCAGTGTCTGAAGCTGGGTGCCGCTATTGAAGCTTAGCATGTGACGTGCTGTCTCATGGCGGTGGCCTGCCCGGCGCACTGTGGGGTTTTATCGATCCTAGCACGAATTTATTTATATCGCATCCTCCGCTACCTTAACTAATTTTATTTCACCTTTAAATGGTTAGGCTTAGAGTGTATGATCCCTGACAACATGGTTGACTCTCCTGCTTGACCCCATCCCTCCCCCGCCCCCTCCCCACGGACTTAGCACTGAAGCGTTTTCGGCTAGCAATGCATCGTGGGCGTGGAAGCGTTAAAAAAGTAGAACGAAACTACAATCGTTTTAGAAGTAGATATTTGTTCATGTCTAGCCCAATCACCAAAAAGGCATTTCGGGCTTAACCTTTGCACTTTGTTAGTCCTTGCACTTAAAGGGGGAGGGGGTCGCACAGACTTCTGTCCTCGACTTTTCGCATACTAACTCAAGCAAAACGTGGAGGATCACGACGAAACTTTCTATACCTTCGAATCGATCAATGTTACTCACACACTTAAATATCATGACATTGACCTTAATAAAAATTTGACCTGTGACCTGTTTCACCAGACCATGTCAGGCTGTTATCGATTTGGCGCTTATCAGCGCACATTATCGGCGCGTTTTCAGTCTTGTTGTGGTTGTTAACTCTCCAAGGTATGAAATGCTGTTTGTTCTTTGCATTTTAAGGTCACGTTAAGGTCAAATCAAGGTCATTTACCTTACATGGCCTTAGTTGACTTTTTCAAGTTATACGATTTTTCTAGATAAGTGCTTGGAGCTTATTTCGAACTTAACACCCATTTGAAGATTTAAGTAGTTTTGGTGCCTAACGGAACATGCTACGAAGCCGTCAAAGGTAATCGACGCCTACCTTCTATGGATAGCCGGCAAGACACCTACTGGTCGGGCCTGACCTGACCCGGCCTAGCATGAAAACATCATCCTTGATCAAAACTAGCTTGAAATTCGTGATTAGCACCCCAAAAACCTCCAACCTCACTTTACAAAGTTACAGCAGTTTTCGATTTACCTATATCAAAGCTCTGTACTGAAGTTCAATAAGGTGAACATTGGCGGCGATAGCCAATAAAATGGACGCAGCGTTGCAAGGGTGTTGTTGTTTTGTTCAAAAATAACATTTACGATAGAAAAATAATGTCAACATGGTATCACCCCCCTTCCTCCCTCCTCCCAACTCCTATACTGACCGGAAACCCCCAGGCGGTGTGCTGCGGTCGGGTAACCCGCCGCGGCGCGGCCCGGCGCGGCGTAAGAAACCACGCGGCACCGTCTGCTTTGACGTCTCATAGTGACTGGTTTAGGCAAATTTCGGCAAAAAATGAGAGCTGCCCCCGATGCAGAAATTATTGGAGAACATTTTGATATACATTTCCACGCGTAACACCGCGTAACAAACTTTGTAAGGCAATAGTTTGCTTGTCAACTCTATGAATCAAGAAGCATTTTAACATTTTTAGCATTTCGGTCAAAAATTATACATTTGGATGAATTTTGGAAATTTTCGTGCATACCATCATCTTCCTTATAAGTCAAAGATAATGAAAACATGTCGCAACTATAACCTGCTGTTCAGGGAAACGAGTGAGAGGGCGTTTTATTGTAGTGTGCTTTTTCGCTGTATGCAGGTAGCACGACGCTGGTCAGGACGAAGCTACACTTTGAGAGGTTTTTTTAGGCATAAACAATCATTTTACAGACGATTTAAGGTGTGATTCGGATGCGCTGGACAATTCTACGTGGAATGAATAACAAAAAAGTGGAAATCGAAATACTTTAACTTGCCACTTAATGCGTGCTAGGATGGCATAAGTCCCCACGGTGCGGCGCCTTGACTGTTTTTTTTTTTTTTTGTTACATACATCTACCAGTCGGCGCAGCTGACGTAGAGGTCCCCAGTCGTTGCTAATGTCCCCTGTCTTGCCGTAGGGCAGAAGGCTCCCAGGGGAGGCTTCACGAGCCCGAGAGTCGCTGATCACTCGTGACGTGATACTCGTGATTTGGCCGGACGTGGGATGGTAGTTTGGATAGGTTCCCCGCGGAAAAGGTCGAAGGGAAATGACTTCTAACAAGTTGGCGATGAATTGGACATCAGAGGCGGTCGGTGGGCGGTGACGCTGATGATAACTGGCGGGAGAAAATGAACTTTGTGTCGGTAGATTCTAGCTTTACGTTATTTGTTTCCGACTTTTTCCCGCCTAATATCCTTTCTGGCAGTGTGACTAAAGCTCGCTTATGACTCTTCGAGCTAGACTGATTGATAGTTAAGGAGGAGGGCATAAGACAAATTAGCGTTACAATCGACTCGTTGAAAAACACACACACACAATCAGCAGTAAGATGTATAATCATTAGATGTTTTGTGCCATATTTGTTGCATTCATTAAACATTCGTGAATGTAAAAAATGTCATGCAAACGCCGTGAATGCATACACATTAGCCTCGTTTCTAAACTGCCCATTAGCCAACCTCCGTCAACTGTTGTCAATGCCATGCGTAATGACGTTTGAGGTAAATGTTGTCACGGCCCGTGCCAAGTCAGTCGGCCGGCTCGCCCCAGTCATCAGCACCTCTGAACGCTGGCGTTCCGTCAGAGCCGACGTCCCCCCCCCCCCCGGGGAAGGGAGAGGGAGAGGTCGGGCACGCGACTTGGCCAGCCGACTGCCCACCGCGGCGGAGCCGGTCGGGCCCGGTGTTGCGCGCTAGTCATCCGATCAGCGCCGTCAACAGGAGAGATGTTTGTGTGAGAGCGATCTGATCCAGCTTGGGTGAGGAATGAGTGGGATTGAGAAGTTTGTGTTGCTCATGACTCATGAGACAGAGAATCTTCAAAAGGCTTTGAAACTCAGCTTCGAGAAGCTAACATTGCGCGTAAGGAAGACAATCTCCAACGCGCCATGAAATCGGCCTATGTCCTCTTGCGTTGAATCGACGAATGACGACATATATATTTCATGGCGACATCGTTCATTGCTACGACAGCAGTAGTAACGGTGACATTTGACCCATGTCGGGCTCGGGCTGGACCACTGATGGCACCTGCGGTGGGCCAGGTCTCATGGCGGTCGCTGCTGGGGCCGGGTTTGTTGCCATTGGCAGCGAAGCGGCAGGTGGAAGTTTATCAGTCGCGCGATCGGCCCTGTTTACCAGCTGGGACACACCGGCCGGCTGAAATTGAATAACAAACGGTGATTTGTTTTGTGGGCGAGAATTGAGCCCGGACCGGGGAAAATCGTCGATGCCAGTATGTCCCGCGTTCGTCGTGTGATTCGTGAGACTAAATTGACGTTCGCATTGACGAATGTATACAAATGACTGCTATGTTTATACATTTTCATATAAAAAGATCTTGGAATTTCTGAAGTAAATAACTCAAAAAAGGCATAAGAATTGAGAGAGTGGTGCTCCTTTAATATTTTGTCGCAAAGCCCTCTTTATTCCAAACCGCACATCGTATCAAAACTCCATACAAAAACACCCTCGGCGTCCGCAACATAAAAAACAGCCTACCAACTCCTATACGTATTTCAGGCTCAGAACAGCCGCTCACTTTTCTCCGTATGCGGTTCCACAGCTGTTGACCAGCTGTCCTGCGCTGTTCTGTGGGAGGACGTCGCGCTCCAGTTCCGTCGCCGTGCCGTCTCCGTCCTTCCTGTCTGCCTGTCAGACGCCGCCAGATTACTGTCGGGGCTCGGCGCGACCTGTCAGATGGACGGACAGACTCGAGCCGTGGAGCTGAGATCACTGGCGGCATCTGACGCAGCGTCAGATACGCTGACGCAGCGCCATATAACCTGACGCAGCGCCATAGAACCTGACGCAGCGCCATAGAACCTGACGCAGCGCCATAGAACCTGACGTAGCGTCAGTTACGCTGACGCAGCGCCAGATATCCCGACGCAGCACTAGACATTTTACGAAGACACATAGGTTCAAGATCCATCCGCAGGTCCGGTGCGCGCGCATATTCAGATGACCTGACTGGCCCTAGGGCAGGGAGCAATGTCCTACCGGAACATTCGATTCCCTGACTTAGCTCCATTTTGTCACTGATGAAGCATATAGATGGATGTCGTAGCGATGCTCTAGGCTGCCTCTGACGCCGTCCCTGCGACTGTCCCTGACGGAGAGAGAGAGAGAGAGAGAGAGAGAGAGAGAGAGATAGGAGAGAGAGAGAGAGAGAGAGAGAGAGAGAGAGAGAGAGAGAGAGAGAGAGAGAGAGAGAGAGAGAGGAGAGAGAGAGAGAGAGAGAGATAGATAGAGAGAGAGAGAGAGAGAGAGAGAGAGAGATAGGAGAGAGAGAGAGAGAGAGAGAGAGAGGAGAGAGAGAGAGGAGAGAGGAGAGAGAGAGAGAGAGAGAGAGGAGAGAGAGAGAGAGAGAGAGAGAGAGAGAGAGA